CAAAACAACCTGAATGACTGGAACACAAATATGGAGCGACTGGGCGAGGGCCTCTGGGGGGGGCCCTGGGGGCGGGAGGACCTGGAGCGGCGGCTGGGAGGTACCGCACAAACAGGTGCGACAACCCCCCTCCCTTTTTTTTTCTCTTTTCTCATTTCTTCTCTCCCCTTTCCTACTCAATAAAACTGACACCGACCGAGACAGACTGTAGACTAAGGTAACAGATTCTCCAGACACACACACTTACCTTCAACCACAAAATAGGACAAAGAGCAGACGACAAAGGTTGGCACACAACCCACACACGCGTACCTACTTCTCAAGCACACATTAGCGCACTTCAAAGCTGACTACCCTGACGAACAACCCAACACGCGACTCTACTAACAACAGAGGCCACTCACACACAACAGACAGCTAAGTAGACAAACCTGAACTATCTAAAAGACACAAGACGCACTCCATCCCACACCAAGCACCACCCTGAAAACACTGGCCCGCAAGGCTCACAAAGCTCACACGAAAACGACTCCTACACAGACCACACTCACATGAGTTTTGATGAATAAACCCTGCAATCCTAAGACGGCCCCTGAGTGGGCACAATGCTTCAAATAGATTGTTAATGTAGCCAAATTGCAACCTAGTTCAGAATCGCTATGTTACCTAAAGTTCTGTTGTACCATACGCAAAATGACTATGCCTCTGCGAAGGCGACAATATGCGTTCATCCTAAAGCGATCAAAAAGAAAACGTTGACCAATGTCTATGCACCCCAAAAAAAAATGTGTATGTTAAATAACATGTTGGCAATCAAAATAAAAAAACGATTTAACACAAACCACCGTACCTTCGCAGTCAAATGCGTGAAACCGAGAAGCTCCCCCCCGGCTGAAACGCTGCTTGCTGCTGTGCCCAGTGTTTGTAGGAGTGCCCGATCAACCTGACCCTGGAGAGGATCGAATCTAAAGGAGGAAAAATAAAAAACATTTAGCTCAGGAGACCGGCAGGATGCACATAGGAAACAAACCTCCTGCATTCCCACCTCCCTATCCTCTGCACCTTTTGATCTGGCTTACCCAGCCGAGAAGCCACCATCGCGGCGCCAATTCGGAAGGAGTGTCCACCAAACTCTGCACCCTCCAAGCTCAACGCAGCCAACCCTAAATGAAAAACCCTGACAAATTGAAAATGGGAGAGAAAGCCACCAGCAGCGGGCCAGACAGAGCAGGGCGAACCTTGCAAAAACACCAAAAAGACAGGACCCTGCAGATGGCCAACCCAGGGACCGCCGCCAGCTGAACCCACTTACCCTTCCCAAACACGTCAATCTTAGAGCGGTGAATCTTAAAGGAAACCCGGTTCAGCCCCTCCCTAACATCAGAGAAAAGGATCCCCCCAATGGTCGACCTGCTCGGACACACCAACTCCCCAATCCTCATGGCCCCAAAGAATGCGAACGAAAAGGCAAGGTGAAACAGCCCCATATCAAAGTCCGAGAAACACACCTGTGGCATAATTGCGTCAGGAGCGCACCCGATACTGGCCTCTTTGAATCCACAGTAATGAGATCCTTGCGCAGCCCCTTAACTGCCTGGCTCACCAGAAACTCTTTGGTCACATCCCCCCAGCCCTGCAATTTAAACAGAAAACTCAGCCCGGACAGGCGCGAGGACACCGCCGAAGGTGACATGCCCGTAGAAACCCAAGTCTTCAAGGGTGCGTATCCTGAAAGAGCCCTACCTCTGACTCCAGCTGGTGCCATTCAACCCATACCTTTGAGTATCTGGCTCAAGTGGAAGTAGACACCCACCCGCGAACCAGGTCCATCAGCCTGCCGAAAACAGGGACCACAGCTCCACTGGACACGAGCAACCCTCCTCGTCCTCGTTAGGCGCAGCCGCTCAGAACTCCGTCCACTGTGTACAAGAGAGAGCATCCGCAATCACATTGTGAACCCCAGGAAAATGCAGCGCCCTGCACGACACATTAAGGCACAGGCACCGTAGCACTAAGCGCTGGAGCAAACGTACTAGGTTATCACAATGAAAAGTGAACCTACAGTCTCGCAAGTCCAAACCCCATAACTCCAATGCCACCACTATGGGGAAAAGCTCAAGGAAGGCAAGATTCCTAGACAGGCCAGAGGCGTACCATGCCTCCAGCCAAGTGTCAGTGCACCAGCGCGACCCTAAGATTTCCTCAAAGCAGACGGAACTCTCAGCGTCCGTATAGAGGTGAAGATCCAAACCAGACACCTCTGGCGCCTACCAATACGACCTCCCGTTATGCTCAGCCAGGAAAGTATCCCAGACATCCAGGTCGTCCCGCAACTGCCACGTGAGCCGAATAAAATGCCGAGGCCTTGCCACCCTAGTGGTCGCGGCCGCCAGGCGCCTGCTGAAAACGACATGCGTTTTTCAACTTTCCCAACAGAGATTGCAGCTGGCACAACTGTATCTTCCGCAAGTCCCGGGCCACAGCCACGTCCTGGCGCAGCCCTTCCACTTTATCCTGAGGCAAACGGCACTCCATGGCCACCGAATCTATCTCGATGCCCAAGAAGCTAAGGCATGTCACCGGCCCCACTGTCTTATCATGATCTAGGGGAACCCCGAAGCTGCCTTTTCCACCGTGTTGAGCAAGATCCTACAAGCCTGGGAATACGCTGGGCCCACACACAGAAAGTCGTCAAGATAGTGCAGCAACGAGTCGATCCCCCGACTCCTGCCGCACCACCCACTCCAGGCAAGTGCTGAAGCATTCGAAGTAAAAACATGATATGGAACAACCCATCGGAAGGCACATATCCACGTAATACAGGCCATTGTAAACACAACCGAGGAGGTGATGGTAATCTGGGTGCACGGGCAATAAGCAAAACGTGATTCAACTTCCACCTTTGCCAGCAATGCCCCAGGGCCTGCTCCCTTGACCATGAGAATGGCAGCATCAAATGAAACATAAGACACCCGACACAGCTCAGCAGAGATATCATCATTCACCGAACCCCCGTGAGGGTATGACAAATGATGAATTAGGCAAAATTTCCCCACCTCCTTCTTGGGCACCAAGCCCAAGGGGGACACGCCCAAATTGGGCAGCGGAGGGACATCAAATGGCCCCCCCACCCGCCCCAGCGATACCTCCTTCTGGAGCTTGTCCAGGACCGCTCGGAGGGTGGGCGCTCCGAGAAAGGAAATCCAGAACCCATGTACGAAGCAATCCTGCAACCCAACGGTTCCTATAATGGGCGAGCCAGGGGCGCATCTTGTCTACGACCACTGGCGGCATCGGCCTTATCCCCCAGGTCCCCTGACTTAACCCGCTTAAAACAGCGCGAGGCCGAGGGGGCGCCCCTGCAGTGGGAACATTCATGCTTAAAACTGCACAACGCACCCCACTTGCATTGACTGTCATTGAAGTTCAACAACAGCCTGGATGTTGATGTAAGGCCGATGGGGCGGAGCCCTGCCACCCACCGCCCCCCCCCCAAGAAAGGAATACGTCCCCCCTTGGTGTGCTGCTGGGCGAGTCATGATGGAGAGCCACAGGCCAATGTCCATCTGATGCCACGAGATAGAGGGGCGGACTGCGAAATTGTTCGTCATAGCGCCACTAACCCAGGTCACCATAAGCCAAGCCAGAGGGCGGATGCGTTGACCCACGCTAGCATGGCCACCCAGGTAGGGTGCTGCGGGATGGGGAACAGAGGGAGCAACACCGCTGGGAGGGGAGACCGCACCGCCAGACGGCTGGTGCTTGAATAGGTGAGCAAATTGCTTGTGGAGCTGCCGGCCACCGTCCACTGCTGCTTCAGTGCTGAGGGCTGACAGGATGCATTCAATATCCATGCCACAGGCCGAAATTACCTATAGGCCCAGAAACAGGAGGAAACTGTTGCTGGCCCAGCTCCTAAGTGGCACTAAGGTCAGTCTAATCTGTCACCACCCACTTCCTCAAATACCACACTCCCACACATAACAAATAGCCAATCATGCTTTATACATTCCTACACTCATACATGTGCCCTTGTCCACTAAGCTGCTCACTCTCCCTGGGGCCTTGTACACTATAGCTGAAACATACACAAACGCATACACCTACTGACTGAGGAAGCCTTATTTTAAAGAGTGAAACATGTTTCAGAGGTTTTTAATAAGGGTTTTTAGCTCTTAGGGTGACTTTTATTATTACTTTTATTTAATAAAGTAAAGTTGGAGTCTGAGTTGTGAAATCATTTTACATATGAGAATGTTGAATCACTGTGCAGGGAGAGTGTCACCTGGGAAATAGATACCAAAGCCATTTCAGTGAACCAAATTTCAAGGCTCCTGTATACGTGAGTGAAATTCTGTATGGTATATGTTATTATAATTTTATTAAGGTTTTATGCGTATACAATTATATTGTTTTACCAATATATACAATCTGTTTGAACCCTGTACTTAAGAAAAGAGTGACGAGATACTTGCATATCAGAAGAGGGGAGGGAGTCACCTATTTAAGACACCACTGCTTATAAATCAAAACTAGACTGTGGGCTCTGGCATATGTGAGTTGTGATTTCCTCTAGAAGATTCACAGCTGTATTACATTCCCTGGTTGTTTTATTGGACTGTCTGCACTATTATAACTTTTTCTATCTTAGCGTTTGAGGTCAAAAGTTTGCTATTGTCTGAAAAGAATCAAAGCAACTGATAATTGTGCATTTCATACAAGCTTGTTTGAAATAAGGTATATGTAGTATAAGCACTTTTTTGGGATCTAGTGCAACACAGATATTCGGCACTATGTACAATTAGAAATATTGTTTAAGTGCAAGTTTTTATTTAAATTGCATGGTTATTTATGGTTTTTAAAATAGTTAGGTGTGTGTGCACAGGAGAAAATTTATTTTATTCTACTGTGTATTATGATTGTTAATTTTAGATCAAGACTGCCACCTTGAGGTAGACCTAAGTATACTTCTGGTCTTCCAAACTATTTCCTAGTTCCATGCCAAATTTTGCTTTAGGTCTAAGCCATGGTATTTTTTTGCTGTTGATATGTTAGTGTCCAGGCTCATGGAGGACCACTAGCTGTGCCCACTATGTATCTCCTATTCTGATTGGTTTCTTGAAGGACGTGTGATAATTTTTTTGTTTGCTGTAATATCCTCACAATCGTTTCAGTAAACACTGAGGAAAATGTTGGCGCTAAATAAATGGCAATGATTACAAAAATCTAAACTTTGCTTTAGAATACTTATCAATGCTGAATGGGGAATCATACATTTTATTCACAGTTTATATCTAAAGGATACTGCAATGACCTTGTAAAATGGCTGTCAAAACCTATGAACATGATAAGGTAGAGCTTGGTAGTTTCGCTGAGCAGAAGCCATCTTGTGTAGCTCTGGTGGCATAGATTGGGTCAACAGTGGTCATTTTTTGATTCTTACCTGACAGAACCTGCTGCAAATGGCTTAAGCTGTCAATTCATGCCTATTTTACCCACCAGTCAGAAATTGGCAGCACAAGAAGAAAGGGTCTTTCAGTGATCTGAAACCATGTGCAGTAAGTGCCTCACTAGAGAAGTGTGTAGATGTTCTCCTTGATTACTTGACCCCATCGGGAGGGGGGGAGAGGGGGAGGAGAGGGGCTTGGTCATGGTTCAGTGTGCTCAGAAATCTTAGAACCCTTCTGTCTACAGACTCAAGCAACATTGGGACTCTACTTTAGTGCAAGCCGTATCCTAAATAGTATATGCCCACTTTTGAGGAAGCACCTCTTCCCTCCACAGGTGAAGACCCCTTGGACATAGAGCCTCCAATACTTACCTCCCTGGCTATTCCAGAAAGGGGGACATTCAAAGCCTGCTCTCCAAAATAAAATCATTATTTGTTGCAGATTTTACTCTGATTAAAACAGAGGTACACAACAGAATTCAAGCCAGTGAAGATGATGTAATGGTACTGACCAAGCTACAAGAATCACATTCCCACATGTAAACTCAGCAACAGGAGCTGACCCTTAGACTTGCTGGATGATAGAGGCAGAAGGAACAAAATTAAGATACCATGTATTTCAGACACAGCACTGGCAGATAAGCAACCACATTTTTAAGGAGACTGGTTGCCTCCATCATACCACCTAAGCAAGCCAAAATACTGACCTTTGACGGTTCATATAAAACTAATAAATCGACTACGGCGCCTGCATCTAACCACATGGATGTCATCGTCCATGGTCACTGTTACAAGCTGCCATTTGTAACTGTTATTTTATTTGACAAATTGCCCTGCTTCCCTGTGTTATGGAGAAGCCTAATTGCCAGCCTTCTGCCCCATGACTATGGACCTAGTGTGTATGGCGATTTGACTGTATTTGTGGGATCTGAGCGCTGTTTGGATATATTGAGCGCTCAGATCCAAGCCATCTGGGGATAGGTTGAATGTGGGGGTTCTGTTCAGTTCAATAGGAGTTATGTATTTTTGTGTCTTTTTGTGTCTTTTGCTAACATGTGGTTAATGGAGTCTGCCTCTATCCCTGGATAATTGGATTACTTTCCCCATTGTCCAGGATAGAGGCCTCTGTAAAACCGGTTTGGGCCAGAAAACCATGCTGCCAGCCAGGCCCCAAAAGACACTTTTGCTAACTTTTGAACCCCTTGTCTGATTTGTGCCATTTTTTAATATGTTGCTCCCCTTAATGGATTGATTCCAAATATGTAATTTTTATGAAGATTGGATGTGTAGTTTGGAAGTTATAGTACATGTATAAAAACTGTATTTTTACTGTTCTGTTTTAATTATGTTATGTGATTATCTGAGGGATGGGAATTTCCCCGAATGTATATTGTTCCGATTGGTTATACTGCTAATTATGTGGGTGTCTCCCTTGCATGGGCAGAATCTCATAAAAGCAGAGTGTGTGCCATTAAACATCAGATCTTCTTGACCCTCAATACGTAGCCTTGTCTCGTTATTGGAGGGAACTGCTATATCACACTGGGGATTGCTATGCTCTGCATACTCCCCTGAGCTTTTAATCACTTAGCTCTTTTAAGAGCTGTTCCTGTTACGCTCTCCTGGAGGAGAGGTCTTCCCCACACGGTCCTGGAGGACAGAAGCTGATCCAGGGTGGAAGGAAGACGGCGAGACTCCAGTTAAGCTACGGCGGTTGTGGAGTCTGCGGTGGTTGTGGTGTCGGCTGCAGTGTTTGGAGTCCTCAGGAAGCGCTAGGAGCATCCATCAATGGAGGGTACTCGGTCGGAGTACAGGGAGCTCCGTTACATTGGTGGCAGCGGTGGGATGGCGTCCTAGTGCGAGGAGAAGCAGCTCGGAGACACTGGTATCGTATGAGAGGTTATTGAGGGCAACGCTAGCCACTGTACAGCGTCCCTAACTACAGCAGCATGTAGCAGGCATGGATAGAGCCCTGCGAAGAGTACCTGAACAGGATACGGCGCTACGAGGACGACGCTTACATTGAGGAGGTAAAGAGGCGGTTGGTCTGCTATGGCCCAGACCTTTCGAACGAGGTGGTCCACCAAGTAATGCGCCAGTTGAGGGCTGAGAACAGTGCGGCAATGGCCTTTGAGCGAAAACTGTGGAGGTTGAGGATATGGACACCTAGTCTCCAGCGACAGTGTAAGTTCCAGGGAGCCGAAGGTGTCGTCCTTCCTCCCCAGCGGCAGTGCAAGTTACAGGGAGCCGAAGGTGTCGTCCTTCCTCCCCAGCGGCAGTGCGAATTCCAGGGGGCGAAGGTGTCGTCCTTCCCCCGCAACAGCAGCAGTGTGTCCTACAGGGAGCAGAGACAGTTGGTCTCTCTCTCCAGCAGCAGGACATTGTTATGGGAGTGGAGACAGGCGGTCTCCCTCTCCAGCGGCAGCCTGTGTCTCAGGGAGAGGAACACAGCACCCTATCTCCCCAGCAGCAGCTTACCCCACCGAGGGGAGATACAAATCTCCCAGCTGGCACAGAGGGGACCGTGGTCTCTGTGCCCGACCTACAGGGATGCTGGACAGCCTGTCCAGATCCCCAACTACCCTCACAGGGACAACAGGAGGAGGGGGTAAGTACGAATTCCCCTCCCCAGCTAACTCCTAACTTGGCCCCAGGGTTAACAGAGGAGATGTTAACCCCCACTGACTCCCATGTTCCCCTGGCTACTGAGCTGGACTATGTTCCCAGCACCCCAGCGGAAGAGCTGGCAGCTGGGCAGAGTGCAGTCGGCCTCTGCCCTCCCTTTGTCCCTTGTCCAGAGCCTGATGTCCTGCAGGCTATACCAGCGGAAGAGCTGGCAGCTGGGCAGAGTGCAGTCGGCCTCTGCCCTCCCTGTGTCCCTTGTACAGAGCGTGACATTCTGCCGGCTACCCCAGCGGAAGAGCTGACATCAGGGCAGAGCGCCGCTGGCCTCTGCCCTACCGACCCCCTTGTTACAGGACTGGTCTGCAACCCCCTCTCCCCAGCAGAAGTGCAGGCATCAGGGCAGAGCGCCGTTGGCCTCTGCCCCCCAAGTACCACCAGCTATTTGCCCAGCTGCACCAGGAAGGCAGAGGATGCTGCATTTTCATCCTACAACCTGGAACCTACAGGCCAGTACTGTTTATTGTGGGGGGGCTACTTTGCTACTTGTTATTTGTGGGTGGGCTGCGAGACTAACTTAGGCACTGACCGACAGGAGGTCAGGTGCCTGGTTAGTCTCCCTCCAAAAGGGGAGATATGTTACAAACTGCCATTTGTAACTGTTATTTTATTTGACAAATTGCCCTGCTTCCCTGTGTTATGGAGAAGCCTAATTGCCAGCCTTCTGCCCCATGACTATGGACCTAGTGTGTATGGCGATTTGACTGTATTTGTGGGATCTGAGCGCTGTTTGGATATATTGAGCGCTCAGATCCAAGCCATCTGGGGATAGGTTGAATGTGGGGGTTCTGTTCAGTTCAATAGGAGTTATGTATTTTTGTGTCTTTTTGTGTCTTTTGCTAACATGTGGTTAATGGAGTCTGCCTCTATCCCTGGATAATTGGATTACTTTCCCCATTGTCCAGGATAGAGGCCTCTGTAAAACCGGTTTGGGCCAGAAAACCATGCTGCCAGCCAGGCCCCAAAAGACACTTTTGCTAACTTTTGAACCCCTTGTCTGATTTGTGCCATTTTTTAATATGTTGCTCCCCTTAATGGATTGATTCCAAATATGTAATTTTTATGAAGATTGGATGTGTAGTTTGGAAGTTATAGTACATGTATAAAAACTGTATTTTTACTGTTCTGTTTTAATTATGTTATGTGATTATCTGAGGGATGGGAATTTCCCCGAATGTATATTGTTCCGATTGGTTATACTGCTAATTATGTGGGTGTCTCCCTTGCATGGGCAGAATCTCATAAAAGCAGAGTGTGTGCCATTAAACATCAGATCTTCTTGACCCTCAATACGTAGCCTTGTCTCGTTATTGGAGGGAACTGCTATATCACACTGGGGATTGCTATGCTCTGCATACTCCCCTGAGCTTTTAATCACTTAGCCCTTTTAAGAGCTGTTCCTGTTACGCTCTCCTGGAGGAGAGGTCTTCTCCACACGGTCCTGGAGGACAGAAGCTGATCCAGGGTGGAAGGAAGACGGCGAGACTCCAGTTAAGCTATGGCGGTTGTGGAGTCTGCGGTGGTTGTGGTGTCGGCTGCAGTGTTTGGAGTCCTCAGGAAGCGCTAGGAGCATCCATCAACGGAGGGTACTCGGTCGGAGTACAGGGAGCTCCGTTACAGTCACTCTATGCTAGACAAGAGACGCCTGATGTTTGCCACAGCGGAAAACTCTGTTTACTTTTGAGTCTCACTCCCTGTCCATTTGTAATGACTTCAGCTGCTCTGCTCTACAGTGGAGGAAATCCATGAGCCCAGCCACCTTACTATTACATACAGCTGGACTGTCTTATCGCTGGCCTGCTCCGAGAGCACTGCCTGTCCACAAGTCACAGATTTAATTATGTAGGAGAATTTACAGCATGTCTCTCTACAATGAATGACATAAGGACTCCTCTGACCTCAACAGGGCCATTCTGCTACTGGGATCACCAACATTTGGTTCTCTTTATCCTTAGACGGGGACAGGATACTGCATGAAGGCTGCAGGCTTTATGTACACATAAGCTTGCTCTCTATATGTTCCTTTTAACATTTATTTTTGTCACTATAACTATCCTTCACAGAACCGTGCAATCACAGAAGTGATGTCTCTTCTGTGTTATGATGCACACCCACTCATCCCTAGCTTCCTGTGCCTCATAATGACATATATATGACATGGAACCCTTCCATTGGTCTCCTTTTATAATGTCAGTCTATGTGGTGCTTTTTAATTAAATATACACACTTGTGACATCATAACCTCCTGTAACCAATCACAACCCCGTATACCAATATACTTCCTAGTTATTCTTGTCATGTCGTGGTTCTTGTTACTTGAGAGTGTGTTTATAACATGTATTGCATTTACTGTTTTCTGACCTTGGCTTGTTTGACCATTTTTGCTTTCTGTTATCCTGATCTTGGCCTGACTATTGATTGTCTGTATCTTTGTTATCCAACACCTCAGTCTGTCTCTCGTTTATTCTCTGTCTGCTTGCAGACATTTCATTTATCTGTCTTAGGCACTAGCCTGGCTTCTCTAAGGACTGGCACGAGTCCCTTTACTGTTTCCTTTAGGTTTGCACGTTATGGTATCTCCATCCCTGACAATTTTGTACCAGTTTTTCTTGTTTATGCTTTCATGTTTATGCCAAGCTCTTAGAAAATTTCTCAATATGCATGGCCTATTAAAAGGCACAGAGATATACACTTATCCTCCTCCCCCGTCCCCATGGCTCCCTATAGTTAGGGAGTATCTCAACTAATTTCTAAGTATTGTATGTCTTCCTACCGAGTATCTTAATTAGTTAGCCTCCTCAGGTTTAATGATACCCCACTTAGGCTCAAAGCAACCTTCACCATTTAGTTTCTCCCAATTATCTCCGATACACGGCCGGATCTCAGGACTATGTCGCAAGTGCAGGTCAGTAATTATTTTGTTTTGTGGGTTCTCTCCACACTGTATCCTTTCCTTTAATTTGCATATTATATATAATAAAAAAAGAGGTAGCAATTTCAAGGCAGATTTTATACTGGAGAGTCTGCAGCAGCTTTAGAAGTTTAATATAATTTTGTTTAAATTTAACGAAGAGGACCACTCTTTAGACTTACATATTTGTGTATTAACAGCTTGCAACCATTCAAAAATGATTGGCAAAAAAATACCCCTGTAAACATACTAATTTTATTTTTGTTTATAAAGATGCATGAAATTAAAGAAATAAGAAAACACAGCTGTATGCATTATTGCAAAGCATACAGAGTTGAAAGGATAATAGTGAAAACACATAAATGAAAAGTAGTTCATGTGGTGGACCAATATCTATGAAGATATTCTATGTCTTATTAAACAGGCAAAGAATGATGAGAATACATAAATACACTTAGAAACACTATGAAAGTGAGCTGTGACAATTCTGGGATTTTAAAAAGTGTCAAGTTTATGAAGTCTAACCAATATGATGTTTTCCCCCTTACAGGTATTGGGGTAGGAGATGGCTATTGACTTTGCAGCTCTTAGGGGGGGTGGGCTGGTCATTTTTTAGATTTTATTTGGCGAGGATGGACAATGACATGTCCACCATTCCTTTTTAATATTCATTTAGAGCCTCCATCTGTTCCCACGGTCCCTCTTTTTAAAGTAATTAGAGCCACACACATGGGTGGGAGCTCGGGCAGAGCTAGCCACCCCATTTTATTCTAAATTAGAGCCACCATTTACCAATTATGGGTGGTGCTGTAAAAGTACTACCGCTTGTGTGGCTGCATTGTGGCCCGCATCCGTAAGGTGTTTTCAGGGGTGCGGTTGTGCACTGTGGCCCTTTAATAGTGTGACTGGGCCCCTGCAATCACAGCTGCACTGGTAAGATGAGAAGAGCTGCGCGAAAAAATAAGGCAAAGGGGAGTGGGCACAAAGTGGGAGAATCTTTCAGCCTCAGCCAGCAAACGTAGGAAACAGGGAGGTGGCTTAAAATGTGTACATTTTGCATACATGTTTATATGTAAGTCTGTGTATCTGCATGTGTATCACTTTGTGTTTCTGTGTATCTGCATATGTAATTTTTTGTATGTCTGTGTATCTACGTGTGTATCTGTTTGTGTATTAGTGTGTTTGTATCTGCATGTGTGTCAGTGTATCTGTTTGTGTGTTTGTATCTGTGTTTTTTGTGTATGTTTGTGTATGTGTGTGGCAGTATATGTGCTTACATCTCAGTATTCAAACTCCAACACTACATACAAAACTTTTGGTCATTTTGCCATTCTTAAGAATAAGAACGCCCATCTATTCTGTATTCCCTGACGTTGAGTGATTTTCTGTCTGTTTTATTTTTATTTTGCACATATATAGGCATACAATTTGCCTGGCAACTCCAAGAACTGCTAAAACGCAAACTATCCAATTATTCTCCTTATATGACAGGTATAGATTGAAGCTCTGTGTACCGGGCTGCCTTCATATCCTGACAATAAGATTCAATCATTTTAAATGAACTTGTGGACTTGCAATTAGATATTCATTCATGCTCTATTTTCACAAAGTATTATAGCATCGTCTATTTTACAGACTCTTTAGATTTTTGGAAGAGCACTTTATTCTGTGCTAAAAGGCTATTGGAGAAATCCAATTCTGCAATCCAGAGCTTGAAGTGGTCACTTTGTATGTCCATGATGAGCCACAAATATGTAAAGTAATACACTGAGATCATCATATTTCTCTGCAGAGCCGGATAAATGAGATGCAGCAGATAACAGCAATATTATAAGGAGACCTTAAAAGGAAAATAAAATTCAAGCTAAACACTAAATGCAATCACATTCAAGGTGTGATAAATATATAATAGTAGACAGACCTCAATAATGACCACTATTAATATTTATGACATGGCAGATGGTTTACATAATTAAACTGAGATGTAAATGTATTCTGACTATGAATTCTATCCTTTGAATGCTGCTTGAAGACCACTTGATGTTTTGCTCAATTTCAAAATGAAAATGTTTTCTGATATCTGTCCCACTCCCTGCAATGCACAGTAACCGTCACAAACTTGCCTTTGAACTGGCTGATAGATTCAGCTTTAAAAAATAAATATTTTTTTTTTACTCTAACATAATAGGTTTGAAATTTGTTCTGCAAAGCTTGAAAGAGAAACGTAGACTGGGAGAAGCATTTCTCTATGAGTGTTTTTAGTTACAGTAGCTGGGCCATGAAATCTCTGGCAGATGAGGCGTTATAGATGGGAGATTTATAAAGATCTAGAAAGTTTCTGGCATTCTGTGAATCAAAATTATACAGTATATAATCTCCGGTACACTGGCAAAAATTGATTTTATTCTTTCATAATGTGTTGCACAAATGCTGTAAGAAACAAAAAAAATAGGATATGCTACCAAGCACAATTAAATTACATTAAATTTTACATGCACATAAATGTGAAGAAACTGGCAAGAGTATTTAGTTATTTGTACAGCGTGTACATGGCACACAAATACTTGGATTGACAGAGGCAAGGAGCCCTTCTTTTGAGATCAGGCATGGAAGAACATGTATTATAGCAACCAGGGGCAAAGTCTGGATTATATTTCCACTAATGTGGAATGATTACTTATCAAAATTAAGGGGAGAATTTAAATTTCAGAACAATAATAAAAAGTAAAAAAAAGTTTCACTTTTTATAAGTAGGATGAAAGATTTACGTTTATTTGAAATTCTGCACTGGAGTCCTTTTCGTTCGACATGATAAATATAATCGCAAGAAAGAGGGAGACTTGGGTATTGGGCAAAGGAATTGAAATGATCTAGTCCAAACTAAGTTATTTTGCATGTGAGTATATCATAGTTTTGATATTAAGTATTAAAAAATATTTGAATGAGTTGGGAAAATATGTTTTTAAGATTTAAAAAAAAAAAGGAAATTTTCAAGAGATTTGAAAAAAACTATGCCTATGATGAGAATGCAAAGGTTCCCGAAAGAAAAGGTAAAAGATCAAAATAAACACAGGTCAAAGGAAAAATATTTTTGGTAAATTTACATGGTGACATATAATATTACAAAAACAATCTAATAGAGAAACACCAAAAAGGGAGAAGAATGGAGAAATTGCTCCTCTAAAGTGTAAAAAAAGAAAAACAAAAAGAGGGATTAATGTTTTGGAATAGGAAGGACAGGGCCGCCATCAGAAATTTTGGGGCCCATGACAAAGCACAAGGTCTTTGTATTGTCGAACGCGCAGCGGTAAATGGCGAGGATTCCCTGGAACTGATTTCGGGCTACTTGTTTTGTCGAACACCGCTGCTACCTTCTCCCATCCTCGTTCACACGAATGAAGGGGATATGTGGGGATATCTGGGGATATGTGGAACTTAAAGTTTATGTTGTGTAAAAAGAAAGTTATATATTTTTATTCTGTTTTGCTGAAATAAGAAAAGCCATGTTTCTTTCTTCCTGGAGATAATTAAGGCTCTCTTTGCTACCTTAAGTTAATTATCTCCAGGATGGAAAAGAGGGAGTGATTTATGTAAAGGGGAGTGCTTATGCTATAGCCACTGTGATTGGCTACTGTGTTACTTTTGTCCCAGTCTTCCATCTGGTCCCGTAGGGGAGTGTCCACCAGGTGGAAGACCTGCATAAATACCGGGCGGGTAGCCCACAGTAAATCAGATTGTTTTACCCCTTCATGAAGTCTCGACTCATGTTTGGGGGATTGGGAGTTATAATCACTTCGTTTCAGCTGGATTTCGGGAGAAGCTGCAAGGATCATTGCTGCACGAATAGAAGGATCCTTTACAGTAGTGAATGCAGAGAGTGTGTTAGTGTGTAGCGGATGCAGAGAGTGTGTTGTGTTAGTGTATGCAGAGTGTGTTGTGTTAGTGTATGCAATGTGTGTTGTGTTAGTGTATGCAGTGTGTGTGTGTTGTGTTAGTGTATGCAGTGTGTGTTGTTTTAGTGTATGCAGTGTGTGTGTTGTGTTAGTGTATGCAGTGTGTGTTGTGTTAGTGTATGCAGTCTGTGTGTTGTGTTAGTGTATGCAGTGTGTGTGTGTGTAAATGTGTGATCTGGGGGTGTGATCTCGCAAGACCCGGTTACCATGGCAACGCTCCGCGGGTCTCGGGGCCCGCGGCTGCACACATAGATAGAGACAACAGTCACGGTTGTCACCCCCTGATGGCGGCCCTGAGGAAGGATTATAATGAAGCGATATTAAGACAATTGTGAGATGAGATAATTAATCAAAAATTAAAAGGAGAGACAAAATCTTAAATAAAAACATAGTTGTAAGTCTCCTTAGTGAGGGGAAAAAGTAGGGATAAATTGAGCAAAAACAAGAATAACTATCTAAATATAAGCCAACTTAAGATTGCAGTATTTGATATAATACTGAACATGCACAAACCCCCTAGGGCAGCCATGTCCAAAGTTCGGCCCGCGGGCCAATTGCGGCTCGCGTTCCGGTTCAATACGGCCCCACAGGTAATTTGTTAAATCTATATGTTGTGGCCCCCTGTGAATCCCTGAGCGCCGTGTTCAAAGATCCAGAGATTGCCTGGATCTTTAAACACCACAGGACTGCATGCATGGGCGTCCGCAGGTATTTTTCCAGGGGGGGCGTAATTGTAATGACATCCATGCTTGGCCCCTTTTTGACAGTGTCATGAAGGGGAGGAGCATAGTCATTATAACAAAGCCAGGGTGAGTAGCGTTTTCACAACTATGGTGTCAGGAATACAAGTTTGTTTTCCTGACACTATAGTGTTCCTTTAATCAAATTAAAGGAACATTCTGATCATCATAACAACTTCATCAAAATGAAAATGATATGATGCCAGGAAGCCCCTGGGTGCTCTCTTTCCTTTAAGGGGTGAAACTGCTCTCAAATTGTTTAACTCCAAAGGCTTCCTCCAGCTCCAGATCGCTCAGTGGTATTTGGCTTCTGAAACGGAGTGTCAGGAAGTGCAGATTGATGTCAGACATGGGTGGTGCTGATTGGCTAGAGTGGTCAGCTGATGCTCTAAGTCAATCGCTAGTTCCCAATTCATAAATTTTTTAACATTTTTATGAATGGTGACCCTACTGATTGGCTCAGAGTGCCAGTTTAACGGTGTAGCCAATCAGCGGCACCCCTACCTAGCGGCCCTCTGTGTTTCCTGACACTCAGTAAATAAAAGTGAACACATTAACATGTTTTTTACCTGGGGAGATGAGAAGATCCAAAGTTTCCTGCTAGGCCCAGGTACCAAAGCCTTATGATGTGGTGTCCAGAATTAATGAAGTGGAGGGATAACTTCACTTGTCCTTTCTGCTCCAATCTCATTTTCTTCTCCTTCATTTGACACAGTCTTCTCTCCTCCTTAGCACCTTCTGCTCCTTTACCTTTCTGCCTATTTTGCGCCCTTCTGCTCCTTTCTCTTTCCGATCCCTTTCTGCTCCTTGCAGACCCTTCTTTCTCCTTGCAGCCCTTTCCTGCTTCTTGCAGACCCTTGCTGCCCATTTCTGCGCCCTCCTGCTTCTTGCAGACCCTTCCTGCTCATTTCTGTTCCTTTTCCTACTTTACCTTTGTGCCCCTTTCAGATAATTGTTGACCCTTTCTGCTCCTTAATTTCCCTTCCTGCTCATTGCAGACCCTTCCTCCTTCTTTCTGCCCCCTTCCAGTTTCTTGCAGCTCCTTCCTGACCCTTTCTGTTCCATGTAAACCCTTTCTGTTCATTCTCCTACTTTACCTTTGTGCTCCTTCTGATTCTTTCTGCCCCTTCTTTCTCCTTGCTGACCCTTCCTACTCCTTGCTCACCCCTCCTGCTCCTTGCAGACCCCTTCTACTTCCCCCTCCTGCTCCTTGCAAACCTTTCCTACCCCTTCCTGCTTCTTGCTGCCACCTCCTGCTCCTTCCTATTCCTTGCTGATCTGTAGACTGCCCCACCCCATACCTCACTTACCTGATCTGTAGGCTGTCCCTGCTGGCTGCACTCTGTGCTGCTCCCCTGCGGATGCAGTCAGGAGAAAGAAGCAGGGATAAGCTGTAGCTTCCTTTCCCTGCCTTTCTCCATTCACAGCGCAGGTATTGAACTGTATTCTCATACAAATGGAAAAAAAATCAGCACAAGCTGGAAAATCCAGGGGGCGGCAAGTGCCCCCCCTTGCGGACGCCCATGCGCTCACTTGTCCCATCTTCCACTATCAATTCACCTTGCTGCTTTCAAAGGCAACCTCTATAATGAGACAGAAAGGGGTATTCGTACGAACCCCTACACACTTATTAAATCTTAATACTCATAGGGGTGAGCGACAGGTCTGTAACATGGCTTTATAGTTCAAAAATTAAGCCCTGGGCTTAAACTCCCACTGCTCTTGGGCAGCAGAAACGGCAAATAGTATTCATCAGCCCAAATGCACAGAAAAAAAAAAAAGCAAATACATTACCTGTGGACTATTCCAAATCCCCTTTAGTACCACTCCAAGGTAAATTGTTAGTGTAGAACTCACTCAGGAGATATGCCTTGATAGGGATGGTGATCTTACACATTAATGGCCATTAGAGTGGTGCTAAATTTCTATTTAAATGTGCATAGGGATTTGGGATATATAGCAGCTAACCTCCCACTGCCATGTGCAAAGGTATAATGTGCTCATCCATCAATTTTATTATAATTTAGTATGAAAAGTATCTTTTAAATTGTTTTTGAGAAATCCATTTACAAAATGAAAATTCACAGTCTCATAAGACATACCTAGACACTTTATACTGGAAGAGACACTGTTTATTGCATGTGTCTGTCAAAAAAGAATAATATTCAGTTACATTTTATTATTAAAGGAATAATGTAGGGACCTACACTTAGTTAATTGAAGTGGTTATGGTGCCTGTAGTTACGGTGCCAGGTGCTGCACCGTAGCTCAACAGTTTGCTCACCATTTAACAGAGATGCTTGGTCCCAGTCTACTATCTCAATTACAAGATGGCTTAGGTGAAGAACCATACCAATTCATCTTATCAGGGATTGCCTGAGATTTGTCAGCTGATGCTTTCAGCCTATTACTGTACGCACGCCTGGTAACCTGGGGATATAGAATCTCTCCTAATGGACTCCTGGCATCATAACCTGTTAAACCATACTCAGTTAAAATTATGTTTCAGAGTGTCCCTTTAATCACCTGTAGGAAAGTTATTTATTTTATTTTTTTTGTTAAAGTTAATTCACCAGGCACTCCTTGGTTATTATTGGATATTTGCTATTTTCATCAGATCAGGCAAGCAGTGTGGAGTTGGGATGTAGCGAAATAGCTTATTTTGTTTATGTTTTTTCTTGTTTTTTTACCAGTTATTAGTGAAAGCTTGTGAACTGTGTTTTTTATGTCTCAAACATACCAATGTTAAGTAATAGTATTATCTTATCTGCCGTCACATTATATTTTTCTATGTAAATGTGTCCTCTATGGATGACAAGCATCTTTCGGCCTCCTCTCCTTAGGGATGTCAGTGTCCATTGCAAATTGATTCCCTTGCCTTATGGGGAAACTGTCTACTGCAATTTTATATTAATTATGTAATCTAAAGTTAAATGTGACATTGCCCTTTGCTAGAGTTATAATTGTTAAGCCAGTGGCTACTTGACACATACATGTTGATAGATTATTAGGACAGTCATTTAATTGCATGTCATATCACCTTGTATTGTAAAGCGCTGCGGAATAAGTTGCGCTATTTAAATACCAATAATAATAATAATAATAATATCATCAATTAAGAGTCGCTACAGATAAATTCTTTGGTCTAAAGAAAAATTTTGGATGTACAATAAAGAAACAGCTTGTGACTGCAGCAAAATTACTAATCAGAGAAAGTTAATTCACTTCAGGAAATCAGGGTGGTGACACATAAAATGGGTTTACAGCTGTGATTCAACTTTTTAGTTGCTCCTAGTAAAATGTATTAGTGTTTAGTTGAGGAAGGCTGCTAATGAAACATCAGAAGTGCATATTGAAAGGTTACATTGTCTTATTCTGGATTTTTCTTTTCAATAAAAATGAGACTCTACATTATAGATTGTTTAATGCGGTAAATGATACACTGATAACAAGTGCACAGTATATATTATAAAAAAAATATATGTAGCATGCTATTGCAAACAGTTGCTTAAATATATAAATAGAACATAAAAATATAAACTCAATGCATTTAGTAAAAATTCTCGGTCTGTTAATTCCAACCAATCATGGCATATAAGTGGCAATCACATACACGAACTATGTTGGCTTAGTGCATGTTAAGAAAGGAGAGCCACATTTTATAATGACAAGACAGAACTTAGTAACTAACAGGGTTATTCACTCTTGTGAGGATTCAACGTGAATTTACATTTTAAGGGCTAAGTAGCTGAACTGGAAGCATACCTGAATTAAAGAAGTTTTCAAGTTCAGCTATTTTGACCTTAAATTTCAAATTCACTGTAAATTCTCATTCTTGTGAATAACTCTGTAGGAGAACAGTTCCATCACAAAAGTAGATGGTGCCAGCAATATGTATGTAGAACCTCTTGGGTTCATCCGAGTGGGTGGAGCAAAACACTCCCCGCAGCCAGAGAATATTTCTGGAGGACCGGTAATCAGCTGTCATACCCAGAGTTTTAGGACCACATCCAAACAACGAATATCCATGAATAAAAATATATTGGAATAGCATTACTACAAAATAGGCCTTACATTGTTATGCACCTATTTACCCACCTGCTGTATTTTAAAATTAATTTGTTATCAACTACATAAACAGTTCTATAAAAATGGAAATGTAGCAAACAAGCCACAAATAAATAGAACCGTAGAATATTGCATTTATGCAGCCAGGGTAGGAAAAATACTCATGACTCTCCATAAAGTTACAAATAAAGCAGGAGACATTGATAGTGCAGAAACGTTCGCCATTTTTAAGTAAAAGACACTAACTTATTGCATGTTTCATATAGCCTCACCCTATGCCTTTCATCCCAGCAGGACTTCCTCTTAGTAGACACCTGGGTACCCACAGGAAGTCCTGCCAGGACAAAACATGTACAGTGAGATTATATTGGAACATTCAACACCTGGTTAAATTTGTGATATGCTGCGAATGCATTTTATTAAGGTACGGTATCTGCAAAAAATCTGTGTCTTTTAGTTAATGGTGAGCGTGTCTACCCTTCCCCTTTTGATACCTACAAAAGGAATCTGAAATCTTCAGAATGTTGTATAAGAATGATTTATCAATTTCCTACACATTCAGAGCAAATTAACATAAATTACATAAAGATCACTATTACAGCATCTGTTAAATGTAACATATAGTCCCAAAAATAATAAGTTATTTCGGCCTATAGGTTTCCTTCTTCTGTCCACCTTCCTTTGTTGTGTTAAAATTAGAGTTACATAAATATTACTTAACTGGTTTCCAGCACCTTGACAGAGTTTTACTCTGAAACGCCTGTAGTTGTTGTAAAAACAAAATATTTAGGGATACTAACCCAGTGGTTGCCAAACTAATCCTCAAGGCACCCCTGAAGGTCCAGGTTTTTGGAATTACCCAGTTGTAAAAACAACACCTTAGACACAACTGGGTAATACCAAAATTCTGGACTGTTAGGGGTGCCTTGATGGTTTGAGAACCACCATACTTACCAAACAAATGTGCATCAAACATCATGGTCATCCAATATATATATTTTTTTTTAAGTTTTTGCATCTATACCTTACAACAGTTGCTACACAAAGGATAATTTTTCTTTTATAAGGAGTTACTACATAAATATAGACGCACAGTGGCAACCATAAAACATAAGCATTTCCACTGTCCACAAGAACAGATATATACATATTTCAAGAGTTCTTTGACCTGTGGACAAGCATCAGAAGAAGAGACAGTCACCGAACAATCATAAGAAATATTTCCAAGTTTACATTATGATTAACATGCAAGAACAGCAGCAGCATGGTTCATTCAAACAAAATAAGTGCAATAAACTTTTTGATCAACAGTATTCAACAGTTGTGACCACAATCCTTGAAACACAATGTCTCATTTGTGCTTTCTAGTAATTTTGATGATCGCCTTCTACTGCGTCTTATCCAACAGCTTAAGGTTTTGGAGAGCTCGTTCTGCAGGAAAATATATTTCCAGTCCTGTTTTTGCTTGCAACCAGGCCTCCGCCCTCTCTTTGATTTGATCAACTGTTCTAGGATCTTGAAAGAATATTAAAAAAAAAATCTGTGAGAGATTTGATTTACAAATGTTATGATCAATTTCAAATGAAATTAGTTATCATTAGCAACCTATGACATTATGAAAAAGTATTGTTGGAGCTATGGCTCAATTCCAGACAAAAGAAAACTCTCACCGACAGTGGTCTGCACAAAGCACAAGAACGAGCAATAAGTTGCTCCACGAGCTTTAGCAAGTTTATAGGTATGTTTATAACTTTATTTTTTATTGAATTTTTCTCTTATACAAAAACACACACAAAATAATAAGTGCAAGTGGCCTTTTATCTCCTTTATAACAGTAACTTCTATATTTCTTCCCTTTTTTCCTTTTCTTTCCCCATTTTTTTCCTTTCCTTTTTTACCTGTTTACTTTCAGAATTATAAAGTAGAGAGTAATAAATCCTTACAGTGTCAGCAATAAATTACTAATTTTCATTACATTTACACACAAAGTCACCTAACTATCCCTTGAGAGAGAGTCACTAATTGAAATCTATTTATTAACCTTATCTGATTATAATCATACATGCTTCTAGAGGGTTTTTAATTTTTTTTGCCAATATTCCCAGGTGATCTTTCTCTATGTTTGTTCTTTTTTTTGGCAGCCCCTTTCCATTGCCAGAAGATTTGCTTGATTAATGATGTCTCCAGTTTAGGAATGTTACTTGTGTTCCAGTTTTTTTGCAATCATTAGTTTTACTGCAGCTAGTATATGTAAAATTATAGGAAGGATATCTTTCTGTGTATTTTTCATCTTTAAATTTAGTAGAGCCAGTTCTGGGCTTATTTCTAGTTTCTTATTACTTATATCTTCTATAAACGTGAATACATTTTCCCACAGCTTCTTATTAATGGACCATTCCACCACATATGCATCATACTGCCTTTGTCTTTTCCGCATCTCCAACAGTAAATATCTGAATCCCTGCTAATATCTTTCAATTTCTCCGGTCTTGCCGGTACCCAGAACCATCTGTTTTGTACCTTATACTGTGTTTCTCTTAAGTTAATACAATGGTATATATTTGTATGTGATGTCAAGGGATCTTTCCCATTCATATTGATCAATCTTGATCTTAAGATCTTCTTCCCACTTTTTTATGACTGTAGGTTCAGTTCTAGATGACATTTGTCATCTACGTTTATAACTTTTTAATACGTTGTAAAATACTATCTTCGAGGCCAGTCTGTATTCATACAGTGTTGGATGAACTAAAATACTCAAAGCCTGGCAACAGAAACCCATTTTAAAACTAGCTGGAGTGCTACAGGTTGAGTACCGTAGCATATCTATATAAAACAACTTAAAATCAAAAATATTTTTAGATGTAGTTTTACTCTTGCACATACCCATTTCTGCTTCATTATCATGACTATTAAGGTGCTTCAGTATGGTTTGTGCTAAGATCACCTCCTTTGCATGCTCTTCTTGAGCCCTCAATGTGATGGCCCCAAGCAGCTCAGCATTGTTAGAAGTACTTTTGTAATATAGCATGTGGGCAAGTTCCAGTGAATGAGTTTTACGCCGCTGAGAAAAGACCTGAAAGACATCAACATTAAACCCATGACAAAGACTTACAATGACAAAAATGGTGGAAATCTGTACAAGTGAAAAACTTCACAGTAATAACTACTTCAAGGTAATTTGCTAAGTTAATTTAACAACTGGTGAAAAATTATTTTGGGGTACCGGTTTTAAATATCCTTGATAGAAAATTGTATAAAAAGAGGAAAACTAACAGTTGTATATTTCCTGTTTCACACACACAAACACGGGTGCACACACTGATCTGAACTCATTGTGCCAACGTAAACATTATCCCAATGGACATTATCCACTTATCCAATTTACCAATGCCAGCTCTCAGAGGTGACAGAGCATCCCGTCCAAACAGGCACTATCCTGCCATCAGTACGAAGATATTGAGGTTACCACTGGGAACTCCTGTTTTATTGTAAGAAAAAAGTTCAGCTCAAGCTTTGTTACATAGTAGTGACAAAGCTCTGCACTCAACCCAACACTATTTTATATCTCTGGTGTCAGCACATCTAAACAGCATGTTTAATGAATAAGCTCCATACAGAAAAATCTCTTGGGCATACTCGTGTTTACCTGAAAATAAGACCGGGTCTTATATAATATTTTTCCCTGAAAAGCACACTAGAGCTTATTTTCGGGGGATGTCTTATCTCTAGGAAAAACGGTAGCAAGCACGCACTAGGAATTCCCCTGAACATAGACCAGTTCAATAGTACATGGAATCCAACAAATCTACGTTCAGGGAAACTTTCCCGAACATAGATTAGCTAACTCACAAGAGGAATCCCGCAAATCTATTTTCGGAGAAATATCACCTAACATAGATTAGCAAACAAGCGACTTGCGACTAGGACTTATTTTCATGGTAGTGCTTACATTACGAGCATTTTTTGAAAATTAACTAAAGCTTATTTTCGAGGAAACACAGTACTATGTCACTGTTAAAGATATAAAGCTGTCATACTGAAAATAGCCAGTAGATGGCAGCAACATGCCACTCTGTTTTAGTTTCAAATTCCCTTTGCTAATATCGCTACTGATATTAGCAGAGAAAAACCTTTTGGATAAGGATTAAATTACGGATTAAGATTAAAATACATGTTAGGTTTAGTATTCGGTTTCTAGTTACATTTATTTTTAAGATTGGTTTAGAATTAATTTTAGGACAAGGATTCAGATAAGCGTTTGGACTATAAATAGGGCCAGCAAGGGAATCCCTCTGCTGAATTCAGCAAGGGAATGATTCTGTTGACATCAGCAGATGGAATCCTTCTAACATTATTTATAGGGTTTCAGATTAGCGTTTGGATTAGGATTAGGGCCAGCAATGGAATCCCTCTGCTGAAATCAGCAAGGGAATTCATCTGTTGACAGCAGGAGAGGAAATTCTTTTAACATTATTTATAGGGTTAGGATTAAGATTAGAATTAAAGGCACACTCCAGACCCTTAAAGCACTTTAGCTTGCTGAAAAGCTTTATGTGTAAAGTCCTTTTTGTTCATTTTGGAAAAAGTGCAAATTTCAATAGAAATTTACACTTTCATAAATTTTACTGTAACATCAAATTAAAGTCCATTTTGCCCTTTAAAAAGACGGTATATAATATGTGTTGGTGCAATAAAACATGAAAGATGGCAACTGAACACACACAGAGCAGAAATGCAAAAATTGCTTTAAACCTTAAGTGAAAAACAAATTAAGCTTGGTCCTTAAGGGGTTAAATATTTCATTTAATGATCTTACCTTCCAAGTTCGGAAAGTCATAAATCCAACAAAACAGAATAAAAGTAGGGACATGCCAATCTTCAGATCTGTGAGCACCACCATGCCCACATTGACAAAAACAATACATCCGCTGACCACAAGCATGGTGTTAATCAAAGTGCGATCAAAGCTGGATGTGCGGACTTTTATCACAGGGAGAAGCTGTTCCAAGCCTTCAAGCGGTATGTCCTTAAAGCACTTAAGCACCATATGAGAATTCCTAGGACGAGCTGCTACTAAAACACGTTTAAAATAGCGCCTATATGGAGCAAAAAGAAAGAAATTACTTAAGGGAAAAAAGCAATATTAGCAAAAGAATGTTAGGTCAAAATAGCCAAACTGGGAATTTATCCAACTCAGCTCGCAACTTTGGTCTAAAATATGCAATTTCCTTGACAAAAGTGCAATTCCCTGGCAATAATTCAAGGATTATTAGAGAATAAGGTGTGATGGTTAGACACAGACTAAATGTATTAGTAGACAAATATTGTATTTCTATTCTGTGCATACACACATGGTAGAATTTACTGCTCAGGACTGACCTCTGCCCTGGCAAAAAATTGTCTGCACCTTGATGTAGAGAGGCAAACCAATATAAAAATAAAAAAAACTCTTACAAAAGAACCCAAGTTAGAAGGTAGTCTGATCTACCTGCAGCTGAAACCTCCTTTCCACAAAAATGCTAAACTAAAAAGTGATGGGAGCCAATATTTATTGGTGAGAGTTTAATACTCAAGAGAAAGCAGTGTAATGATCACATACCTTCTTTTGAGGAGGGCTCCGAGGCACCTGGCTATATACTAAGGGACATAAGAGTTCCCACTCCTCAATATTAATTTCATCTACACACATAAATGTATGAACGGACACATCTTATAACACGTGTAATAAATGTATGAACTGACATGTCTTGTAACAAAATGACATTGTTTAATTCCATACCCAAAACATACCTGAAGTAAAAGAGATTGCGTATTAAGAATCTAAGAAAAGCTCAAGAACTATTACTGTAAGAATAACATATTGTATAGAAAATCTATACAAAGATAAAAAAAAATGAATAATCTTCTATGGCTAGATATTCCAAACATTTTCTATTATTTTGTTCCAATATCTTTGGCAAGAAAACAGATACAAAATTATACAATTTTCTTTCTAAAAAACAGGAAAGGTGTGTGAACACATCTTTTAACAAAAGAGGAAAGGGAGTATATTACATTCAATTTAAAATGTAATTAATTCTTCCAAAACCTTACACTGTGTTAAATTGACATTTCAAAATATGAAATTTCCACAACAGATTTGTTGAGTGGAAGAACTCGACTAAAACCAAACAGGGCGTACTATTTCAGGGGCACAATACTAGGCTTGTCTGCTACTGTAATAATGATATTAATGATAATAATGAATTTCCATCCAAATCCGGCATTACTACACTGATCTGCCATAACATTAAATCACTGACAGGTGAAGTGAATAACATATCATCACAATAGGAGCTGCCAAGGGGTGGGATATATTAGGCAGCAAGTGAACAGTCATTTCTCAAATTTCATGTGTTGTTAGCAGGAAAAATGGTCACGCAAAAAGATTTGAGAGACTTTGACATGGGCCATATAGTGATGGCTAGACAACTAGGTAAGAGCATCTCCAAAAAGGCAAGTCTGTGGTGTGTCCCTGTACGCAGTGGTTAGTAGATACTAGAAGTGGGGCAGGTAAGGACAACTGGTGAACCGGTTTATTGGTCATGGGTACCCAAGTCTCATTGATGCACGCGTGGAGCGAAGACTAGTCTGTCTGGTCGTATTACACAGAAGAGCTACTGTAGTTCACATTTCTGAAAAATGTAACGGTGGCCACGATAGAAAGGTGTCAGGATACTAGTGTATCGCACGCAGAACAGTCAGAGTGCCGGAGACGACCCCTGTCCACTGCTTAAAGCGACTTCAATGGGGATGTGAGTGTCAGAATGTCATGGAGCAATGGAAGAAAGTTGCCTAGTCTAATAAATCACATTTTCCTATATATCAGGTGGATGGCTGGGAAGAGATGGCAGCAGGATGCTGTATGGGAAGATGGCAGCCTGGGAAACCTTGTGTCCTGACATTCATGTGGATGTTACTTTCAAATGTACCAACTACCTAGAGATTTTTGCAGACCACATCCACCCCTTTATGACAATGGTGTTCCCTGATGGCAGAGGCCCCCTCCAACAGCATAATGCACCCTGCCACACTGCAAAAATTGTTCAGGAATAGTGTGACGAACATGACAAAGAGTCCACGGTGTTGGTTTGGCCTCCAAATTTCCCAGATATCAATATGAATGAGCATCTGTGGGATGTGCGAGAACAACAATTCAATCCATGGAGGCCTCTCGCAACTTTTTGGACTTAAAAGATCTACTGCAAATATCTTGGTGCCAGATACCACAGGACACATTCAGAGGTCTAGTGGAGACCATGACTTGAGCGTTTTTGATATTAGGCACAATATTAAGCAGGTGGTTTTAATGTTGTGGACGATCAGTGTAAACTGCCACTGGTTATCAATATTGTTGGAGAAACCATAATCTATCTCCAATGGCACATGTCAAGGTTGTCCCCTTTATCCTTTAATATTCATTCTTGCACTAGAGCCTTTACTTCATCATCTTAAACTTGATTCATCCATCTCTGGCATGTATAATATCTACTTGCAGGTGACATCCTTCTCATCCTCCCTTGTCCGGCAAACTCACTCCCACACATAATCAGGCCTGTAACGTCTTATGGTGAAGTTACTTTCTACATCAACAATTTGGGAAAATCCCAAGCTTTGCCAATAAGTATTCTTAAAACTAAACTGCATTCCCGTAAACAGTTATATGCCTTAGAATGGTAGATTAGAGAAATACATCTTGAACTTATTTGGATATATAGATCAACAAAAGTAGAAGTACTCTTATAATCGAAAACCATCCTAAATTAATTGAACTGCTGATGGAGGTGTTGTGGCACGGTGAGCCATTAAATTGTGATCATCCCCATAATACTTATTCTGTAATTGTACCTCTTGTATTTTGGCTATATTCCATAAAGTTTGAGAAATTTACAACTGGAAGAGAAAACCTCCAAGTATTTTCTACATATCACACTGGCTACCAGTGAGATTGAGTGGCATAGATAGGAGCGGTAGCAAAAACACCTTATACAGCATCAGCCCTTTCCCCAAGTACTAGCCATGTGGACCCCCGTCTATGGTTTAAACTGAAGGATGCGTTCCTCTCTCTATTTACTATTGCTTTGCAGGTATGGATGCCTGATTCAAGAAATCCCATTCTTCCAAGTATGTTGTTGACTACAAGGTTCTACTTACAGACCTGGTAAAGACGGGCATGCAAGCTGCGCTTTCCCATATACATTTATTGTTGTTAGCCCCATAGGCACTCTAAAAATGTATTCTCCAGACCTACCTCTCTCCACCTGGGATGGAGAAGTTATCTTAGGGGTCTCCTCTATCCAACTAGTATGAAATTCTTTTCTACACTAGTCAGAATCTCTGCCACATAGAAAACTATTTACTAACTTTAGGGTTAAGAACATATTACGTCAGATGGTAACTCAGCTGCAACCAGAGCTGTAAGGTAACAGTAAAAAGTTAAACCTATTTCATTGTGTTATAGATTGCTGGCAAATCTCTCCAGAACTGACAAACTGATGGCCAAATGGGAGCAAGAGTTATGCAAACAATTCTCACAAGAGAATTAGACCTTTCTATTCCTATCTCATTGGGCAGCACGTTGTAAACTGTTAATGAGATTTCACACCTCAATGCTCATTGAGTATGTCTCTTTCATTATTCCTTCTTTACTGGTGTTGTGGTAAAACTATTGGCATACATTTGCATACCTTCTGGACCTGCCCTTACTGCTCTTGTCTAGCATCCAAGACACTATTATCTCAGTGACAGGTATTTCCTTAAAGTGGTTGCCAGAAATTCTTATCCTTGATAGGTTTCCCCACTTTCAGCTAGGCATGCACAATACTACTATAATAGCATTGAAAACTAGTGTTGCTCAGGCCTGTAAAACTAACATCCACCCCCATTGTTTCCCAAGAGGAAAGGGTACATTTTACAAATCAGTCTACAAAAGTATCCCTCTATCTCTTCCACCATTTATCGCGCTTACCTAATAACTGGAGACAGTCGCAATTAATGTATATATGTACTCAATGCTTGAACCCTACATTAAACATTTGACTTAAACAGGATTTATTTAAAGTCTATATAAACTAGATGTCAGAGTTATTATATTAATTTTTTATGTAAATTATCTTAATTACAGTCTATATTTACATTGAACATGAAGAGCACCCAGAAATGAGTCTTGCCTTTCTGGAGGGGTGCGAGGAGACCTAGAGAAGATGGAATCCTGGGTCTTGGTAGTTAACTGCATTGATAGGGGTCCCAACCGCTGTCCGAGGGCCCAGTATTTGATATATTCATATTTATCAAGATTAACCTGAACCTAAAAATAGAATAAGCATTTTAAAATTTTATTTTGTGAGCAATATAAAAAAAAGACACACAAATAATTCTTAAATAAGATAAAGAGATGTGAATGATATATCTGTATAACCCTATTCCATCTGTAAACTTATGTGCAATACAATTTCAATTTTCTCTCAAACTCAAAAAAAAAGTTGTATATGCTCTCATGGTTTAATGTAAGAAAGATTACACATACAATATTTTAGCTCTATGTTCCAAAGCAGACATGTTCAGAACATAACCAATCACATCCCCAAAAGAAAATAACAGGTGAGAATATTCTCGACAAAGTGTTATATTATGTGCCACAAAAACAAATGAAGCAATCTACAGTCTGTCAACTTTTATTTATTTAGTTTTAAATCTTGTACCTGTACTCCATCCTGAGGATGATGCACTATGAGGGCATACGCCAGAGCATCCTCTGACAAAACATTGAAATTCGCCTGATCCAGCACTGGCTGCAGATGCTCCAAGACCTCTTTTTCTTTGGATAGTTTCTCAGAGTCTGTGAGACTGGATTCCAGCAAAGCATCTCGATCTGGATTAATAGGATCATACAGTGCCTTGAAGGGAGACAATACAAGCAATAGTGAATAACAAACAGAAGAAAGTGTTTCTAATCTGCATCCAGTAGATACAAAAAAAAAAAAAAAATGAAACACCATAGAAATGTATGCAACATATAAATTGTGATAATTTGAGGATTTATTGAAAATTTTTTCAACATTCCTTAGTGTATTAGGATAATGGTATAAAGCTTGATGTAGTGTGTGCTGGGTATATACAGGGGTGCTGTGTAAGGTATTTATTATGTGATAAGGGATATAGATTGTGTAGAGCTGGGGTACCCAAAAGGTAGATCCCCAGATGTTTTAAAAATACAACTTGCATGACGCTTTGTCATTCTAAAGGCATGCAAAGCATCATTGGAGTTGTAGCTTTACAACATTTGGGGATCTACCTTTTGGGCACCCTTGGTGTATAGCAGGTGGGATGGGGCTTACATTTGTTTCTGTATATAAACTTTAACTTACATACACACACATAATTATATATAGTTTAATCCTTTGGGTTAGGAAGGTGAGGTCATCATGCCTATCCCTAGTGATTCAGTGTGGACAACCTGTGGTCTTTCTCTCTCTGCTGGAAGCAGACCTTGTGTAATGTCTCTCGTAAACTCCATGCTCATAGTATGGTAATGCTTTACATTAGCCGGGGTTCACTTTAGTTATATATCAAGTCTGCACTGAACACAGATTATCAGAGATTAACAACTGTTACAATACTTATTTGCACATTTTACTTTTAAAACAAATGTGCCTCTTGCACTGAAAACACATTAAAGCAGCATTGACAGTGAGCTATAAACGAAAGTATATAGAGAAATAATTATACTAAATTAACCTCACAAGTTTTCAAATCATCCATACATCCATCATCATTATCGAACTGGATGGCACTTCTTTTATGGACTCAAAAGGATGAAAGTTTAACATGACCTTGGGGGGGGAGGGGGGGAGTGGCATCTTCCAGAAACTGCAGCTATAGCCAGTGAGTTATAGTACGGCCAATAAATAAAGATACGCCTAATACACTTACTTATCCTCAGCTGCAGAGATTGGTATTTAAATAAAAGACTAGATTGAAAGGTTACCTGAAGTTTCTCTAAGATGGAGTGATAAGGTTGAAGGAGTGAAATCTCCAGCTGATCCACAAATGACAAAAACGAGTTCTTCTCAGATTCAATAGAGTAAAAATCCTAAAAATAATAGGGACAGTTTATTTAGCTTTACCAGTTATCCATAAAGTGGAACTTTAGGGAAATTATTTATTTATTTTAAAGTTACCTGCCGTAACATGGCAGGTGAGCTTACACTTTAATGGCTATTGGAGTAATACTACAAACCTTCAGTTATTTATATATGCATAGGGACAGGGAAGAGCCACACTTTCAAGAACTCATATCAAAGCTTTGTCAAAACAAAACACAGAGTGTACAGGTTTCTGTGCACTAGCATTAAACAACACAAATACAAGGAGCAATACGGATGAGTTCTTCTAATGTCAGTACATTACGTTTGTTGACATTACTTACTGGTATGAGATCCTGTAAGTGTATTTCCTGGCTTTTTTTGATTGAAAGGGCTACATTTTAAAAAGCTGTTTCGCCAGTTTCAATAACGTCTGTAAATAAAGAATGCAGAGATGGTATCCTACACCACCATAGCCACTAGAATTAGCAGTGTACCAAATATACCAACACCCACTGCCTTTATCATACTTGTTACATCATAACTTCTCTGTGGTTGAAGGCCAGGATCATGCCTTGTCCATGGGTATCAAAACAAGTAAAGAGAGAGTATTTTCTCAATTCACTACGATTCACTCTTTAGCAAATAAATGTATAATGCAGCATCAGTTGTGGAACATTATGAGACTATTTAAGTTAAATATGAAAATAGGTGCACATACATATTGAGGTAAACATTTCACAACCTAGTTTTTGTTTTACACATCAGTTTATACCCTTAAATGTATTCATGTGTACTAGATGTTAAATGCACAGTCATAAGTGGTAAAATTAAAGGGAGACTATAGTCACCAGAAGCACTACAGCTTAATGTAGTGGTTCTGGTGTTTATAGCCTGTCCCTACAGGCGTTTCAATGTAAACATTGCCTTTTCAGTGAAAAATCTTTTATCTCCACAGAGGGGTGCCGCGGGATAAACATGTATCCCGGCAATAGTCAGGAATGCATGTTTGTATTCCTGACACTATAGTGTTCCTTTAAAAAAATAAAAATAATAAATAATACAGGCTCACAGTTGTCTATTTACCTCTATGTATGCAATTAATCTCTTACTATATATATATATATATATATATATATATATATATATATATATATATATATATATATATATATATATTCCATATACTATAGAAAACCTATTGTAGTTAATGAAATTGTCCAATGACACCTGGGTTCAATTTACATCCAACTAGATTTGCCCTTTAACCTAAGAAGGTCAGCAGCTGTAGGGCAGGATATTTCAACCAATTAATATGTCCAAGAGAAAACACCTAAATGTGAAATATGACAACTGCTTCAAGCCATTCTATCTCAATGATCCCATCCCTATTCCTGTAAGAGAACCTAGTTTTCTAGGACAGTAAAATTAGATGGTCTTTCTTTAATAATAGAACCCCTCAAGGGTTTATATTTGCACAATGTGCTAGAGCAAAAAAATAAATAATAACAAATATATATAATTTTTTGAGGGAATAGTAAGACAGCTGTGCAACAGAACCATATCGCTTTCATAAGGAAATATAATCATAAATCTATAAATACCTTTTATAAGCATAATACATGAATTTCCTTAACCAAGCCACATAAAAAAGCTGCAGTTTTGCCATTGCTCATTATCAGAAAAGGAATATAACTTTAATTAAGAATTAATTTATTCCGTTCACAAACATGGCAGCACTTTACTTGGGAAATGCCCAAGCATATATAAGCAAACTGCTGAAAATATATACATATTTTTAAATCACAAGAAATGGAAAACAAACAGCAGTAGCTAGGCGGTTTCCCAAATTATGCATTTGGCATTCAGACGATATTGATAAATAAAAGGTGTTCTGACAAGACCAAGTCGCTCTCGGCAGACCTTGTTAGGGAAGATGTTAACAATCTACTAACGAGTAGATGAAACGGTCTCCTTTTCACATCTTTTATGACTAGTTGGAATCTAGATGCGCCTTCATGGTTGATTTTAGTAGGACTGCTTCCCTGGTTGGTACTGACAAACTGGAACACTATAGAAATCAGGAGCTAAAAGCAGTCTTCCCATGTTTCCAACTGTAGAGCTCTTCGACTAGCTTCCTCCATAGCCACGGATGCTTCCACAAGTTGAGATCTGCTAATACCTTCCCTGATGACTTCTGCTAGATCATCTGTCCAATACACTAGGGCCTTGGAGAAGTAAATGCTGCCACTGAATGGAGTCCTGCACCTACTGCTAAATCAGAGGTTCGTAAAAATTAGCCTCCCCAAATTTTCTTTCAGAGAACTGGCATCATCAACAGGAAAATATGTTCTTTTGGCCAGCCCTACTATAGCAGCAACTACCTTTGAGGGGGTAACCCATGATCTGAAGGAGCTTGCTTAAAAGGGCTAAAGTTTAGACACTTTCCCCTGTATACACACTCGCTTCTTTACTTTTAACAATTCTTCTTGAATAAGGTCTCATGTGAAACGAAAGCAAGCTCTTTCTTTTTTAGGTTAGCAAAATGTTCTAGAGTGTTTTCTTGGCTAAGTTTTCCACACTGCCTTGGTAAGAGACTGTCACAAATACACTACCCAACTTGCAATTCTATGGTCAGAGATAGGAAAACAGAAAAGAACATATTAATGAAGTTTAGAATGACCGGGTTTAACGTATAATGATAAGTGGCGAAAATAATAATAATACTATAATGCACTGAATGAGGAACAAAGAGGTATCTACAAAAGGGGAATGACCATGGGGCTAAAACTTCATTTATATACAAAGGTAGACTCTGATTGGTCCACCCATGCGACCCCAAAACGTGTAGTAAAAAGGTTGCAGTGATGACGTGGATCTCCTATAACTGGAAATGACGATAGGTGTCATATTGGCATATGATTGGCGCATTTGGGAGCACAGATATGCTGGAGCAGCATGTCGATTGGGTAAGTACGGCGACAGTGGCTCCTGATAATCTTCTTCTCTCTGGCATAATCCCTCTCATATTCCTGCTCAGAAATTACTATCTGGTCTTCCAAGGTCCCAGCTGGAGTGTCTTCTGAGACTGGGCTGCCTGCATGACTCCTGCTACTGCCTGGCAAATAAAGAATACAACATCTGGAGATGCCGGGGCAGGATGTTGACCACACAATCTGGCTGCTATTCTAGAACAGATGAAGATGCCATGAAGGAAACAGCTAATATTTAAAACCAAATTAATCTGCTCATTAGAAAAAAAAAATACTCCTACAACAGCATCCACAAGAAAGAATGCCCTACCTGAATAATACACATGAACAGAAAATCTGAAAAATAGAGAATAGAATTGAATCAGGAAGAAAGAAAACTAAGGAATCAGCAAAATAAAAAAAAAGTTACAATACTCTTAAAATCCACTGTGTGAGAAAATATCTCAAAATCAAAATCAACAGTAGTACTAGCATAATAACATATATTATGGCATTAATGCAGCATAACTATAGCACCAAAAAACATGACATGAATAGATGAAAAAGAAAGCATGATTGCTAGCTCCTTACCAACTGCACAGAGTTACCGGGATCCAAACAGAATAGCCTTCAGACTTCAGATATTCCACAGACTGATATACCAATGCAGAATGCCAGAATTGCAGCCTCTTTTAAAAATGTCTAATTGCAACGGCTAAGTGTTGACAAAATCCAAACACCTGGTTCTGTATCTGCTCAGAGCACTTTAAAAGGCAGACATAGGAAGGCAACTGCACTGAACCTCTGAGTTTCATAATGTGAACCGGTACATGGTAAAGCAGTACAAAACTTTTTTTTTTTTTTAAATGCTTCCCGACTCACAACGTTTTTAGCAGGCTGACTGAGTTTGGAATCATTAGGAACTGCTCCAACCAATGCATGTGATATAGATAGAGTAGGTCAGAGGTGAACAACCTTTTGACCTATTCCATTAGTGAAATTGTATCACATGACAGGAGACTTCATATTTTGCACAATCTTCCTTTACTACTCCATAGCAGCAAAGACATTAAAAAAATTTTATTTATTTTTTTAAATGGAGAAAGTATAAGATATGCCTTCCATGGAGTCACTTCCTCTTTCTTTGCTGCTCCATCACAAGTCAGGTCAGAATATTGTGTGTCTACACTTTGTTGGCTTGTCTTTTATATTTACTTAATTTTACTTATTTACTTGCCTTCTTTTGGATCAACAGCAAAAACATATGTGAGGAAGGCTGAACTTGGACGCAAGTCTCTTTTCAGCTGTGTAACTTGATTTCTTTCTTTTCTTACTGTATATGTATTTATGTAGGGTTTTATCCGATAGTGGGGACGCTGGTTTTTTGTTTTGTAAGGTATAGACTTGGGATGTCTGTGTGCCTACTTTATCCCCTTTATTCCCTGTCGGTTTTTTGTTACTCTTACAGTTTATGTAAGTACATGATACTGATTTCATTCTTAGAGGGCGAGTCCCTCTCATAAACTCAGCCCAATACTGATATTTATACTGCTTCCTGTCCGTTTTCAGTTTATTTTACAGTTTATGTCAGTACATAATACTGATTTCATTATTAGAGGGTAAGCCCCTCTCATAAAATGTTCTCCTTGTGGCTACGCTCACCACTCCACAGACACTCTTCCACCGCCACAGATCGTGTGGCGCTGTGGAGATTTCCCGCCTGTCAGGTTTCTGCATTTGCGCGCTTACATGTGTGCCCGCATTCGCCTATTCTCTCCTTTCAAATCTACCGAACGCATATATCTATTTGCGCTCGGTGGTTTGTATTTTCTGTCAGGCGTTCGCATGGGTTTCTTGCGTTTGCATACGCCTGTTTTTCATCCTTCAATCTACCGAATGCGTATTCAAACCAATGCGCATTCGGTGGTTTGTATTAATTCCTGGTTGACCCTTTGGACTGTTCTACTCCCAAACGCATATCCTCGGCGTTCGGTAGTTTCCCTTTGGGTTGTTTGTTTCGTGAACTAACTCGTTTACAAGTTTTCTGTGTTCGTTTTTCCTCTGTTTTGTTTTTTCCTGTATTACTGTTCTGTCTCTGTTCGCTTTATTTCAAGCGACCATTCGCCACATTTCCTGCGAACACATTTTGCAGGTTTTTTACCGTGACCACTTTGGATTGTGCCTCGCGAGATCCGCAGGGGGCCATTTAACGCTTGCCGGTTGTTAGCAATTAAACAGGGGTGAGCCTCTGATGTATAAATGTACCCCAGCTTATGCTAGCTGCTGCATTTACTGCATTTACATTTTACTAAACTAATTTTTTTTGACGCCATGGGCCAACGCTGTTGGACCCGAGAAACATTCGCCACCCACGCTCGGGAGACTGGACACATTCACTTCTGGCTACGAAAGGCACTGTAGAAGGAAATCCGCAAGTGGCTGAGATCAGAGTGAACTCCGGATAAGGTCGTCTATACCCCAGAATTGGACTAGATGATGCTGGCATTCATGGCACGAGGGGGTAGAGACCCAAGGAAAGGGGTCGAGAAAGGGTTCAAGGGACCCCAGGATAAGCTCCTCGATGCCGTCGGGCCACTTGCCTGGGTTCTGACCCTAACGGATGAGGTATACACCCAGGCTGACTCCTTTCAGCAGACAACGCGCGACGGAGAGCACGATGTTTGTGAGTATACTCAGAGGTGTTTTGCTCCCTGGGCAACTCAAATGTGGCCCTCTTTTCAGAGAGACGCTGGGCAGCCTTATTCTGAATTGATGGCAAAATGGTAAACATTGGGGCTAAAGAATTGGGCCCACAGGCACGACTAAATCATTTGGTGAGCCTTTCATGAATGCTAATGCTTAGTCAGAAGAATCTGCTTAACCCTTGGGGGTCACAGTTTCATTTCCCAAGCAGAGTTGACTCAGCCCTTCAATGTAGATAAAATGAATACCATTAAATTGGGTAAAAGTTACATCAATAGGATGCACTTGGAAACCAGAAAATATCTGAATGCCTCTTTCCTGGTTAAACATTTTTACATACCACCATTTCAATTGCGGCACCTCTGGCAAGGAGGAGACTGGTTTACCCACCTGTAGCAGTAGACAACGGCAGTCGTCCCTTCTTACGGTTCCTCTGGAATGGGACACCATGGCAACTCACCTGCCTCCCCTTCAGGCTCAGTTCGGCATCACAGTGCTGTATGAAAGTTTCTGAAACCAGTGATGGCTCACTTACGAAGTCAAGGCATACTATGCCCGGCTTACCTGGAAGACATTCTACTCTCCGACCAGAATCGCAACCACCTTCTTTCACCTGTACCCATGACATAAGAAATCCGACAATGTGGCTTGACGGTATACATGCTTGGAATTGTTGGCAGGCGCCTCGGCTATCCGAAATCTGATGAAAGGGAGATCAGATTACTGTATCCTGCTGGACAATTTTTCTGCAGTTCGTTACATCAAAACACTTAGGTGGCATTTGTTTTCAGACACTGACGCACCTCACAAAGGAAATCTTCAACTATTGCCTACCATGCAATACCACATTGATGGCGGAACATCTTCCTGGGGAAACCTCTCGACACTGGAGGGACAACAACGATTGGCACCTAGTTCCACACATATTAGCAACACTGAACAACTTGAGGGGTCCGTTCACGATCAACTTTTCGCATCTAGCGCCAACCGCCAACTTTCTATAACTGATTATCAGACCCAGAGGGTGCAGCGGTAGATGCAATCCTGCAGGCATGGCTGACCAAAGGGGCTTACGCATTTCCCCCTTTGCTATATTCGCGAGAGTGGTTCACCACATCAGCTCGCTGGAAGTGGAAAGTCCCCTGGTGACGCCCCAGTGGCAGAGTCAACCTTGGTCCCCAGATCTCCTCGCACTGTCATACCAGGACCCTCCGCTATTAACAGAAGATCAGATGATACTCATGGATTCCATGGGGAATCCTTATCCCATGCTAAAAGAAGTTCATCTCTCTTTAGTGGCCTGGAGTCTTTTGGGGATGTTTGATGCGCCGATGACTTATCGTCAATGGCTAGAGATATACTCTGGGACGAGGAAGTGTAACCTCTCAGCTTGCTATTCATGGGTCAAGTGGACGAATTTCTGACCTTTTATGTGAGGGTTACTCATATTGTTCAGGTTTACATTTCATATCACTAAAATGCTCTTTTTCCGCTTAAAAGACACAAAGATCTTCTACATCATTCGTAGTTCCCAGTTTTGAATGAATTGAACGGTACTTCATCTTTCCTGGAATTTAAACTGTCTTCGTTATTCCGTATGGTTCTTCAGTTGATCGTGTGATTTGTGATGTTGCCTTGGTTCCCCGGGTAAATCAGTAATAAAAACCCACCAAATATTAATCAGCACAATATCTATGTAATTGCAAAATACTAATTAGTCTCTTCAGGTAGCGTGATTCTTAACCAGACAAAGGCAGGACTTAATAAATTAATGTTTATTATGAGCAAAAAATAGTTACAGTGCACACAAAATATATGATAAACAAATTATTTACACCCACAACAGATAAAAAAAAAAAAGGATAAAATAACAGAAGTCCTAATTACTTGCTTAGGTTTTTAAAGTAAAACTTCTGCCCAGGGGGTCTCTGGCAAGGAAGGATGATGGTGACTCAATCAAAATTAGATCTTGGCCCCAAAGCAAGTACACCAACACCCCTCCAAATCATTGGATATATACCCTGTGGATTATCAAGTCTTGCCCAGGGAGGGGCGAAGTTAAGGCGTACCTATAGAAATAATAAGTGACCACCTCCCTTGTTCAAGACCAATGTCAATCCAAATGGAAGCATTTGGCTCTATCTTCTCTTATGTACCCGCCACAGAAATAATAATTGCATTTATGAATTTGTTATTATTTTCCAATCCCATAGACACGTCACATGCCCTAACAGCGATCCAAGTTGTGCAAGTCATGTTTAGGCTTATTCCATTCCAAATATAATAAAAATGAGGCCTAATTATTAAAGAGACACTATAGTCACCAGAACAACTACAGCTAAATGTAGTTGTTGTGGTGAGTATAATAGCTCCCTTCAGGCATTTTCCTGTAAACAATGCCTTTTCATAGAAAAGGCAGTGTTTACATTGCCCCTAGGGACACCTACAGGTGGCCACTCCTTAGATGGCCCCTGGAGGGGCTTCCTGGCTCAGGGCTGCACAGTAAGCAGCCCTGCCGTTCAGCGCCCCACGCTCTGCATGGAGACAGAATTTTTCTCATAGAGATGCATTAATTCAATGCATCTCTATAAGGAGGTCCTGATTGGCCAAAGTGGTATTTGGCCCCGCCATGTGCCGATTTTAGCCCTGTGGGAAAGCATTGGATTGGCAAAAAAATTGTCCATTTTGATGATGTCACAAAGGGGGCAGAGCCAGCGTCGGAGGACCCGCGCGGCGCTGGAAATAAGGTTTGTGATCCTTTATGCTGTGGGTAAGTATTAATGTTTCTCTTGAATATGATACTGGAACACCAGGGTCTTCATGAAACTAATACCATTACCATATCAAAGGATTGAACTATCAATTGAGAGTTTCAGGCCATATGGTCAAAGTCAGTTAGTTTACATTGAAACTAGACATACAGGCGACTCAAGTGTAAAATGTCTCACCTTGCAGGGCCCTTGATAGATCAAGAGGGCAATCCTTTTCAGACCTTGCAGAAGCCCCTTTTGATCAAAAGAGCAATTTCTCTCTGCCATTTGTCCTCTACCCAGGGGTCAAATTATTGATGAACTACACAAGTCATATTAAATAGCAATATTCCATAGTGTAATAATAAATTATGCACCCTTGCCGTGACAGCCGTTATCAAGAGGAAGTGTCTCAGTGGAAAGTGTATCTTATACTCTCTGCCTGTCTCTGATTGGTTCCTTTTTTTTTTATCTATATGTCTATGCTGCTATGGAGTAGTAAAGATTATGCAAAATACTCGCCTCCTGTCGTTATTAAAATCAAGATTAATAGTACACTAAAGCTGGCATTATCTTCAATTATCTTTCCATCACTAGTGCTGTCATTAGACAGATGGAATACATTTGCTTTTGAGTTTGAAATGAGTCAAGTTATTTCAATTTGCAGATCATATGATGAAACTCGGTACAGGACACAATATGATCTGCAATGTATGGCCATTTCTTGGACATACCTTTTTTTTATTTTTATTTTTTATTCAAAAGTTTTTATTTTGATTTAAATTCGCGTAACAAGCCAGTGTGAAGAAGGGTACAGCAGGTAAAAGGTACATGGGCATCTTAATATAACATGGTAACAGTTAATTTACAGAGCAGGTAATGGTTCAGGCATAAAAAATATAAAATATGTACGTGGGTATGCCAGTGCCGTGGGGTTTGATAACTCACTGAGTTGATCCCATCGTCATGGCAAGTGAAGATCGGACCATGCGCATATAGTGGACAGAATTTTTAGAAACAGTTGCGTGTTTTGAGTCATTCAACATTTGTGGTATGGTGTGGGTAGTTTTGCGGTAAGTTACAGAGTTATGAGTTCTAGTGGGGGATGTGATTCGGTGTTTATTTTGGGGGTGGATTAGGTATACCTAACAGGTTGTACTGCTCATATTGCTTTAGTATATGGGGTTGCGTCGGTTAGATGGGTATGCATGTGGAGGTCTCATTTAGTGGGGATATGCCCTGGGTTGCGTTGGTGAGGTCCAGTGGGGTGGGTCTTTTGTTGGGACTTCGGGCATGGAGCTCGGAGCCGGTCTGTTAGTGTTATGAGCGGGGGTGGGGTGGGATTTGTGGGCAGCATTGGTTTGTGTGTCTAAATGTTGCTGCGCTCAGAGCCGTCTGGTAGCTGGGGGAGAAAGCTGGGGGTTTCTGGCCCGGTAGTTGTCGTGTTGTGTGTAGCGTGAGTGTTGTCTCTGGCGTGCTGTCTTGTGTATGTCTCTGTCGTGTGTCATGGTCCTGTCCCGTCAGGACACACAAGGGTACGGTGCATGCCGTTCGATCTGTGTTTGGGGAGGAGGAGTGAGGGGTGAGTGTTGTTTGTCTTGTGTCATGATTATTCATCTCTGTGTTGTTTTGTCTCTGAAGGGTTGTAGGTGGGCGAAGTCGCCCAGGAGGGGGCAAGGGGGGGGGTAATGAAGAATGGGGACCGGGGGGTGTGGGTGGTTTCAGGTTAAGCGGGATGAGGTATGGGGAGTTAGGGGTGGGTTAGGCGGGGAACAGCCCAGGCCTCGGCCCAGCTCCTCCTGCCCCGACCCGGGGGGACAGCTCTTCTTCTGTATCTGAGGGCTGTAAGTCCCCGTCTCCCGGCGCTGTGGCAGAGGTGAGCCATTGTGAGCAATGATACCAGGTGTCGTGGTAGCGTTGTATGCGTCCCGTCGCCGAGAGGATGAGCTCCTCTATACGTCTGATGTCTTCTACTCTGATCATCCATTCATTGAGTGTCGGGGCCGTAGGTCGTTTCCAGTGTCCCGGAATGAGGCTGCGAGCCGCATTCAGGAGATGCGGGATTACAGATTTTTTGTATCTGTTGAAGGGGAGCGGGGTCAGGTGGAGTAGATAGGTTTCGGGTGTAAGTTGTAGCTTCGCGTCCGTTACGGTCTCTAGGACTTTGTGGATTTCCGTCCAGAATGGTTTGATGAGTGGGCAGGTCCACCATATATGGAAGAGGGTTCCCAGTTCTTTCCTGCATCTCCAACATTCTGGTTCACAGGTGGACATCATTGCTGACAATTTCTCCGGTGTTCGGTACCAGTGAGAGATCATTTTATATCCTGCTTCCTGGTATTTGGTGGCTATAGAGGCTTTGTGTATGAGCGTAAACACTGTGGTCCATTGTTCCCTGGTGAGTGGGTGTCCTAGATCTTTTTCCCAGTATCTGGTGAAGTAAGGGAGAGGAGCATCGGTGGGAGGTGTGATTAGTAGTGTGTATAGGAGTGAGATTGCGTGTGGTGGGATCGAGGGGCTTGTGCAAAGGGTTTCGAAGGTGGAGAGTGTTCGTGTTTTTATATACTTTAGTTATTTAATGTGGAGTGTACTGTATTTTATGTATTGTAATATGGCCTCAAAAAAAAAAAAAACATTTGATGTGAGCATATTGAGACAAGTGCTTCCTTTCTGTTCTATAGGTTATACTTGACATCACATGGCATTATGAAAAAAAAAAAATCTCAATTTTATTAGCACTGAAGTGCGAACTTGTATGTCCAAGTGCCAATTCCAATAAATATCCCTGTCTATGTGACACCTAGTCTGCCACTCACAGCATCAACCATCACAGAGACAGGTAAAGTCTGTGGCATTGCTAGCAATAGCTGCATGGGAGCAGTACCTTTTATGCCAGCAAGCCCTGCTGATCTCAAGTCAGTGGAGATCAGTGTGCGCAGAACTTGAAAGTGTAGTTCCATTCACAGTGATTGACAGGGCATCTAGACAGAGCTAGAAGTTCCACTTCAAAGCCCTGTTTTTTTAAATATTACAATAATTGACCACTGAGGACAGCATCCCACCACAATAATTACTTAGATAAGTTGGCTTGTGTATGTGTATGGTTGAACAACCACATTGTAAAAGTGGCAAAATTGATATAGTAACTAACATTGAAGGCTTTATTCATTAAATATCAAATTAAAGTGAACTGTAAACTAAACTGCTAATGTATAAAAATAATTTTTTTGCCATTCAACTTACTCTTCACTAAAGCGCAGTGTTTGGTGAGTAAACCCTTCAGAATTACAATGTTACAAAATGCATACAACTAAACAGTGTCTAGACCAGAGGTGGATAAACTTTTAATACCTACCGCCCACTTTTGTATCTTTGTTGATGGCAAAATTTCCTTACCGCCCACCAGTGTCGCAGTAACTAATTTTAAAGTGCAAGTGCAATTTTTTTTTTCTTTAAAAAGCAGGGGTTTTTTTAAAAAAATATGTATGTAAATGTATCCATTTTTTTTCTATTCTACTTTTTTTTTCTATGTGTGTCTGTGAGGTGCTGTGTGTTCGTGTGTTAAGGATGTAGTGTGTGTGTGAGAGGTTCAGTGTTTGTGAACGGTGCAGTGTGAGTGTGAAGGATGCAGTGTGTGTGAAAAATGCAGTGTGTGTGATATAAAGGGAATCAACACAGTAAAGGAGGAGACTATATTTAAAAGAAGAAAAACTACCACAACAAGAGGACATAGTCTTAAATTAGAGGGACAAAGGTTTAAACATAATATCAGGAAGTATTACTTTACTGAGAGGGTAGTGGATGCATGGAATAGACTTCCAGCTGAAGTGGTAGAGGTTAACACAGTAAAGGAGTTTAAGCATGCGTGGGATAGGCATGAGGCTATTCTAACTATAAGATAAGGCTAGGGACTAATGAAAGTATTTAGAAAATTGGGCAGACTAGATGGGCCGAATGGTTCTTATCTGCCGTCACATTCTATGTGTGAAGGGTGCAGTGTGTGTGTGAAGGGTGCAGTGTGTGTGTGTGTGTGTGTGAAGGGTGCAGTGTGTGTGAAAGGTGCTGTGTGCTTGAGTGTGTGAAGGGTGCTGTGCGTGTGAGGGGTGGAGTGTGTGAGGGGGCAGTCTGTGTTTGTGGGTGTAGTGTGTGAGAGGTTCAGTGTTTGTGAACGGTGCAGTGTGTGAGAGGGCAGTGCATGTGAGGGGTTGAGTGTGTGAGGGGGCAGTCTGTGTTTGTGCTTGTGGGTGTAGTGTGTGAAGGGTGCACAGGGTCTATGCTGTGAAAATCTATCTTAATGTCTACCCCTCCCTTCTTACCTTTTACCAGAGAGAAGGGGCATAATGCTGAAAGCCCTGGTGGACAAGTGATAGCATGTTCACTTTAGTCTGCAGCTCCTAATGCTGCAGGCTGAGTCTCCTGTCTTCCTGCAAGCACAGCACTGTAACAGAGCATTGCCATGGTAATGCGCAGCAACACTCTTACCAGACTGCTCGCAGGAGGAACACAGGGCCTCCCAGACCCTTCCCTCCCTCTGCTGGAATTAAGTGACAGCGTGCCGGTGAGGGAGATCTTTGATCTCCTCACCAGCCCGAGAAAGCTTACAGCAAGGCTGGCTCTGCATGGGTCGGCAGGGGAGATGAATGGATCTCCCCTGCTGGCCTTGGTCCACGGCAATCAAGGCACACTGGGCGTTTTCTGCAGAACCTACCACCGCCCACCTAAAATCCCAAACCGCCCACTAGCGGGTGGTAGGGACCAGGTTGACTACCCCGGGTTTAGACAATTATAACAGTTGCACATACCTGAAGCAAATGATGTACTAGCTGGCATTTAGTGTAAGGGATGTGTCTCTCTTGATATTGCACAGTCCAGTCCTTGGGCTCAACTGGCTTCCACATTTTTCTGTATTCTGCCATTTTAGTAGTCAGTGACCCCATATTTCGGGTGAATGATTGTCCTATTCCCATCCCCATTCGAAGGGGAACCCAGGCTGCACATAGCATGACGATGGCCAAGAATATCCCTGAGAAAAAGAAAGTTAAAAGAAATGAAAAAAATTGAATGTGTAATTCGAAAATGTCTACAAATAGGGTTGGCAATCACATAGGCAGTGATTGTTAAAGAGACACCCTAGGAAACAAACACTATAGCTCATTCTACCTCTTGATGGCACTTTGACAAAAATTTGAGGTCTCCCAGTAACCATAACCTGCTTCCTCTCCAGTCATAATATGATAATGAGGAATTTACACTTCAGCATTATCCATATAAGTTCTGTCCAAGCTGGGTGGTGGTGATTGACTTAGAGCACCAAGTGCTGGGATGGCCCAGCGCAGATGTGAGAAAGGCTGAACTTGATGGAGACACATGTCAGCTATGTAAGTACCACACTGGAACTCCTATACAAGTTGGACATTATTTAAACATGCATTACTGAAGTGTAAATACTACATTATCAAATCAAATGGTGTGAACTCTGGATGGCAAGAAAAAAGCCTTTTTGTTGTGTAAAACTAACAAAAATACTTGGCAACAGACTTCTGACAGCACAAAAAAAACATTTGGATGTAATGGTTATATTGCATACAGTGTCTCTTAAAGGGACACTCCAGGCAGCCCTTTTTACTCACCTCGTCGGGAGCCTCGTGAAGCCGCACCCCCTATTTCGTCAAAATGACAAAATAGGCGGGCACGAGCAGGGAGCAATCAGACGCTTCCATTCGGAAGCGTCATTGCTCCCTTGTGCACATGCGCGGGTTCGCCGCACATGCGCACATACTTCAGAGGGCGGCATTCATGCCGCCCTATGAAGTCCTGAGCGTACTACCGTGCATGTGCGCGGCCGCGAGCTGACTTACAGCTAAGCTCGCGGTCTTTGCCCGCCCCCTCTCCTCTGCTGACAGGCAGGAGAGAGAAGGCGTGCACACAGTGCCTTCTCTCTCCTGCACACGTCAGACATATTTTAATACGTCTGATATGTACATGATAGGAAGTCCCTCGGGTGGCCGTCTGAGTGACGGCCACTGGAGGTATTCCTATCAATCAATGAAAATCCAGTGTTTACATTAGATTACCTGCAGGGAGCTATAGATTTCACCTGAACAACTACATTAAGCTGTAATTGTTCAGGTGACTATAGTGTTCCTTTAAATGAAACTGCCTTACTGTAAGAGTAGATGGTGAACACGAATCAAAAAACAGAATATTTATCGGAGGCTGGTATTAAAAGCTCTTACTGCTCCAACTACAGGCCAACTGGCATTCCACTTATATTACTAAAGATATATATTTTTTAAGATCAATATGGTCTGCATTAAAACAGACCAGCAATTATTTCTTGAAATCATTTTACATAATACTAAACCCACTGTTTCAAGGCTTTATGAGCCCAGACAACACAGATCAGCTGACACAAAGCAGATGGGCAGTACTAGAAAAGTGCTGCTCTGTAGCATTTATATGCTGCATTAGTAAGTTAAAGGATCACTCCATTGACTTTAAAAAAAATATTTAGTAGATATATCCACAAAAAACATGCCCGTATTCGTTTCCGTATGTTTTCTTTGGTGTATATGGGAAAAAAAACTGCTTGCAAAAGCAACAGACTTGCTGTCTACAGCCTTAGCAAGCCCTACCCTATTTCAGTCTATGCAAAGGAATTCACCAACCTGAAGCTTCTTATTGAGAAACCTCTGTAAGTAAGCTATAAGCAATCACAGCTTTTCTACACTTCTTGAGTTGTAGTAAAGTTCATTGGGAATAGGGGAAGACAGGTGTGCTCCAGCATAGCACCTGCCACTTCTGTTAGCATTGTGGAGCTAAGGGAAGTGGAAGAAAACCTCCCTGGATTGTTGAGTGCCAGCCAGGCATGTGTTTCTGTCCCAAATTCTACAGAAATTGTCACTTTTAAACAGTCACATATGCAAGAGGTTGCAAAAACAAAGTACATAAGAAAGCTGAAGGGCTTTATGTGTCTGGAGTTTTTTTTTTTAGTGGCATTGTCATCCCATCCCACATCCCTCCAAAATGAGTATTTCATAAAGATAACATCTTTATGAAATTCTATGATTGACTATGTTGGGATTTCAGTAGGAACTATTTTTTTTTTTTTAAAGTATTTTTCCCTACACCTGACAATGCTTGACACAAGGCCAGGCTACTGCCGAGAAGTCTTGTAATTTCACCCAGCAGTCATTAGTGACGGCTGTAGAGAAATTAAGCTCCCGTGGTCTCCTCCATAGACGATAATGCTGCACAGCACTGACGTTAGCTCCTGGAAGCTTAAGAAGAGTGGCAGGAAGAAGATGGCGGCTCCCACAAGGAGCTGGTTTAGGTAAGTCTCACCTTTCCCTGCCCCCGAACTCCAATTGCCAATGTCACCATTAGGGGTCCTTGCAATTATGCAAAAAACCTAGATGATGACAGAGACACAAACTAAATCTGTTTGAATCCTCTTTGTATGACCGAGTGGTAGTTGACAAGGAATGTGGCACACCTACTGCATTATGTTACACAACATTTTCTAGCAGTTAAGTAATCTCATGGTTTGACCAACCTTCATTAGAACACTAGTATTTAAAGTTCTTGTGTCATTAGAAAAAAAAAATCATTGTTTTGGTGCAACTGAAAATATCTTTCTTTGCTGTTTTATTGTTTATTAGGGTGGCACTTTTCCTCTCTGGGTGTTGCACTGACAGATTCTGCATTGTCCTTTGTGATTGGTTTTTGTTTATTTACTTTGACAGATATATGGTCACATGCTCTCAACACAGCAGATTACTCAGCCTGATGTTCAGGCTATATTGCTTATATATTTTTTTTTTTTTTTACTTTTTTCAAACTGGAAAACCTTTTTTCTGGACGAGGAAAAAAAACCCAGCCCTGGCTATGCGTCCATGCACATTCACATGCAAGATGTCCCAAAATAAATAAATAAATGATCATCTATGCATCATCCCTACGGCAAGCACAATATAAACACACTGAAAAGGGCTAACCTCTGAGCGAGCAGAGCTGACATTGAGGTCACGAGCATGCACAGTGTGAAGCCAGCCTCTACCTCCGTCGCTTCCTATCTACGTCACGACCTTGCTGGAATGCTGCGCCGAGGCTTCAGAAGCCGCTGTGCGCAGGCGTGAAATGTTCCCGCCGTTCGCTCGTGCCAGCAGTTTTGCTGCTTGGATAGGTCAGCTCAACATTCCAGGAAAAGAACTCTTCAATGGTTGAGCTTATAAGGAGGGGGAGGGGTTGTAGTATCGATTGAAAGCAGGAGTGATGATATTTCACTTGATGTGTTTGCATGTTAAAAAGAGAAGACAAAAGACTTTGACCGAGTATTTATAAAAAAAAAATAAAAAAAATATGTACTAGATTGACCTGAGTGAATCAGCTTTGTTCAGATAGAATGTAGAATCCTGGAGGTATTACTCTGTTTAAAGTCTCACCATTTGACTCCCATTAATATTGATTGGCGCTGTCTGCTAAAAAAAAAAATTCAACAGTAAGAAAATTAATTTACAGGGAACACAAGACGCATTTTGGGGGGAAGGCGGTTGTCACCAGAATAACTACAACTTATTGTGTTTGTTTTGGTGAGTATAATCATTTTGCCTTTTGCAGTAATCACTATTTTTTTAGAGAAAATGCAATGTTTACATTACAGTCCAGGGATAACAACACTGGCCTCTCCTCATATGGCTGCTAGAGGTGCTTTCTGGGCACAGTGTGCAGTACTGCCATTCAGTGTTTGTACCCTCTGCATGGAGTCAATAAACATTCCTCATAGAGTTGCACTGATTCAATGCATCTATATGAGATGGTGTTTGGCCAGGGTTGTATTTGGTTGTGCTGACTCTGCCCCTGATCTGCTTCCTTGACAAGCTCAGCCAATCCAATGAAACACCTCTTCTGACGATGTCAGCCAAGCAGGCAGATCAGGGGTAGAGCCAGCAGCAGCAGACTGGAGTAAAGATAAAATTATACTATAAAGGAGGGGCCGGGGGGGGGTTTCAGATGGTGTTTTTAACACTGTAGGGTCAGGAATACATGTTCATTTTCCTGACATTATATTGTTTCTTTAAGGGTGTGAATTAGGGTTGGCAACTTTCTTGGGAAGAAAATACCGGTCATGTTAATTTGCATGATTAAATATGTATGTGTGTTGTCACTGGACACAATGTCACGGATATTGCGTAACATTTGGAAAAGGAAAGCTCCCTAAATTGCTAAAATACTAATTACAATGTGTACTATGTCTGACTGTGTGTGTAGCATTGTGGATGTGTAAGATACATTTTGCCACCCTCTCTTCCCCCCCCCAAATTGCATCTTTACCTATGTGTCACGTAACTCTCTCTTTGAATCTCTTGTCTTCTTTAGCTATTTTCGTATTCCTTATCCCATCTTTTGAATGTCTTACCCCCCACATAATCATACAATCTACACATACAGGTACACTGTCATACAGACATACAGTCATACAGAGACACAAATACACTGTCATACAGACACATACAGATATACAGTGACATACAGACATAGGGTTACAGATCCTATCCTACAGACATACAGTCATAGCGTGACATACTGACACAGTCATACAGTGACAGACAGACAGTTATACAGAGACTGCAATGCCCTACACAAACATACAGTAATACAGCGATATACAGACATCTAGAGACAGTCGTACACAGACATACAGTGACGTACAGACATAGTCATAAACATACAGACATACAGACACTGTCATACAGAGACATACATATTCAGGCATAGAGACACAGACATACAGACACTGTCATAAACAGACATTAAGACTCAGGCATACAGTCATATATGCAGTCACAATTGAGATATAGAAATAAATGTTGCTGTATATTTCTATTATTTCTTATGCCCCTAAGTGTTCCCATCTTCATCACTGAGAAGGTCTACTCTCTCCCCATAAACCTTACTCAGGTGTCTATTTCTCTGTGACAATTCGTGGAGGGGGGGCAGGGGTGAATATTGCAGACCTGTAAAACGCTGCTCTGCCTGTTAACCACTTCAGTGCTGGGAAAGCAGGATGCAGTCACAGAACACTCAGAGCTGCACTCCTCATTAAGTGTGAGGAGAGGAAGCAGCAGGAAGGAGGCAGACCTAAACATCGATGGAGAGGATCTCAAAGTTTTGCAAGTATCGTATTTTTTGCTCTGTAAGACGCACCTGACCATAAGATGCACCTAGTTTTTAGAGTTGGAAAACAAGAAGAAAAAAAAAGTGTTCCTTAACACCCACTCCCCTCCTCTATCCCATAGTGTTCTCCCCTCCCCTGTCCCATAGTGTTCCTTACCACCCACTCCCCTGCCCGTCGCATAGTGTTCTTATCCCCTGTCCCTTAGTGTTCCTTACCACCCACTCCCCTCCCCTGTCCCATAGTGTTCTTCCACCCACCCCCTGTCCCATAGTGTTTATCACCCCTCCACCTGTCCTTTAGTGCCCCTCTCCCCCCCTTGGTCCCCGGTAGGTATCCTACCTTTATGTAGGACTCTCCCACCATTTAGGTGCTTATAAAAGACTCCTTTTTAAATGTAATGAGATAAAAGGAGGCGATAGAAAGGAACAGTAAGAACGTCCAGAAGAAAGAACTGGAAGGGAGTTCAACACTTTTTTTAAAGGAGATGCAAGACTGGACAAGAGAATCCACTTATATTTATATTAATTAAAGATTTGTTTACCTTCCCTCCCCACCCCAACATAAAATCTCACACACCACTCATGATGCCAACAGGGTAATATTGAATCCCTGATGGCCAGACTTGTCAAACCAAGAGGACCAACTTAATCATCAACTTGAGCTTGCGTCCCTTAGTGCCCCTCTCTCTTCCTCCCCTTGGTCCCCGGTAGGTCTCCTACCTGTATGTAGCGTGCCCGAGCGGAGCAGTGTGCACAGGAAACAGTTTCCTGTTCTCGGCCGGACTGAAAGGAAGTGAGCACTGAGTGCTCACTTCCTTTCAGTCCGGCCGGGTACAGGAAACAATCTCCTGTACCGCGGTGCGCACTGCTCCGCTCGGCCACGCTACATAAACAGTGCTGCAGGGGAATTAACTCCAACAGCACAGAGAAATAACAGTGCGCATGCGCGGGGAAAAAACAAGGAGGGAGCCGGCAGCGCTATCAGCTTTCTCCTTGTAATAATTATTAATTTACAAGGGATGCCGTGAGTAGGGGCATGTCACCTAAACAAATTTAAAACTACTAGTGACTGGGCAACTAATGTTGCACAATCACTAGTTCAATAAGGGGGAACCTGGCACAAGTTAAAACCTCCCACCCCTACTAGGGGCATGTCGCCTACTGCTCGCTGTAATTTAAAATTGGATATAAAAATCTGTATTTTACATAGAAGTGATAGAGAGCTACGGTAACATGTAACCAAAAGTTATAGTAAAAACTATAACAATGTTGCAGTATGAAAAAGTAGCTATTTAGTTCTAAATAGCTACTTTTACACGTACTCGTACCATACTCTTTATACTTCTATAAAGATAGATATCTTTATATCCAGTTTTAAGCTGTCATAAAACTAAATATAAATCAGTATGGTGGTCACTATGACCCCCATATTGATAAAAGGTGGGTTTAATCCTCCCGCACGCCCCTACTTGCAGCATGCTGCGAGTATGTGCATGTCGCCTAAACAGTGAGCAGCCAAATTAAAGGGGAGGCCTAATGTCCCCCCTGGTCCCCACCCATGAGCGGCAGTTGGGGACCTTAATGAAATAAATGATGGGGGGACCTAATGTCCCCCCCAGGTCCCCACCCATGACCGGCGGGTGGGGACCACAAATAAAGTGACTAGGTGTAGCGGTACTTACCGATCGTGGGTTAGTTTGTGCGAATGACCACAAGGGAGTGAGTGTTGGGTGAATTCGGGAGAGGGAAGGTGCCGAACCTGGGGCACAGAGGATAAGTCTCTGCGGGAGGTCGGGCAGGGGTGGGGGCGGGGGGGGCAGTAGGTCCCCCCCCCTCATTATCTTCATGGCCCCCATCCGCCGCCCAGGGGTGGGGGCGGGGGGGGCAGTAGGTCCCCCCCCCATTCTCATTATGGCCCCCACCCGCCGCCCAGGGGTGGGGGGAGTTCTGCCCCCCCCTCATTCTCACTGTTTAGGGGTGGGGGCCAATAGTTGTTTTTTTTTTGTTTGTTTTTTACAGTGAGCAGCCACAGGCTGCTCACTGTTTAGTGGACATGCCCCTACACGCCGTATAGCGAGTAGGGGCATTTGGGAGATTTTTATCTCCCTTGTGCTATTATGGGGGTCATATTGACCCCCATAGAGTGAGAGGGGGACCTGGGGGGGCTTATGAAGTGGTGGGGAGCACTGCTCCCTGCCGCTTCTATAGTTACATATTACAAGGAGGGAGCTGCATGCCGGTAGCTCCCTCCTTGTAATAAACTGAACGAACAAACAAACAATGATACATTGTGTTTGTTTGTTTGTTCGGCTGATATTTCTATTCACTCATTCGTCTGTCTGATGAATGAATGAATAGATGAAATTCCCGTTCGCATGTCCAGGTGTTTCACTGGGCATGTGCGGGGATCTCACAGTCTGTCTAGTGTGGGCTGATGACGTGTCCCTGAGGGACTTCACCTACCCACACAAAGATGGCTGCGCCCTGAATATAGATCGGGGCAGAAAATAAGGATTACAAAATAGGTAATGCTGGGGGTTTAGGGGCATTTGGGGGTGACTAGTGAGTCAATTGGATGTAGTGGAGGCGGGAGAGGGGTTAAAAAAAAAAACAGAATTCGGCATGACAGTGCCGCTTTAAATAGACTTCCGAGGCAGTCACATGACTCGGCGCGCAAATATAATGTCACAGGTTAAAGGGGAAGGCCCAAATACCTTCCACTTGTGTCATAATTAATTCCAATCAAAAGTTAATCAATCAGAAGCCTCCTAAGCATATTTAAACCTACCTCTTCCGTGTCTTGTTGCCCAATTGTGGTCTTTTGATAGCCCAATAGCGCGTATACTCTGTCTATTTCTCTGATTGTCTTTTTTACCAAAATACTGGCTTGTCTGTCCGTTTATCCTGATTTCTCTGACCCTTGACCT